ACTTTAATTATACTCTTGCATGACAAAGCCAAAGAACCCACCACTCGACGCACATACAGTGTGACTTCTCCCCCACACAAACTCATGCTTAACCCTACAGCACAGCATAACAGCACAGCAAATCCCTGCACCATACCAGAATATCCTTACCAAAAAAAACCCCCGAACAAGCATATCATAATATCTATACCCCCAATCCCCCAAACTACCCGTACCGGAAAGGGCCATTCCCCCTCCCCCCCCCAAAAGAAATAACATCACAACCACCATTAGTATATAGGGAAAAATATTGAATGGAGCAAGATGTGCATCATACCGGTAATAACCTCGAGTTTTTTTTTTTTAAAGAAGATCTCCGAATGAGAAGGAATGGTATAGTATATATTTATCGTACGACTGCTGAGGTATAGATTACCGTTTTGCGGTAGCAGGGGGATTCCCCCACTTTAGTATGCTGTAGTTATTAATTGGGGGGATTCTAGTGTAATAATGGAAAGAAAAGGAAAGGAAATATATATGATATATGGATTGGGATGTTTTGATAAAGTCGCTCTCTACTTTTTTTCTTTTTTTTCTTTTTTCTTTTTTTCTAGTTCGGGTGTGTGATATGCTAGAGTTTTGTACCGTAACGGGGGGAAGACTTTTGGCCCTTATGTCGTGCTCCTTCTGAGATACGGGGTCTTCCTTTCATACTACTCGTCTGATACTGATTCCTGTCGGGATGATTGATCCTCCGTTCATGGGCATTCCTAGTCCACTTCTTAAGTAGATATATTGGTCCTTCGTGCATTCTTTTGACTCTATGTTGGTTAGATATGAGAATAGACAGACGTCCAGACCAGGAAGAAAAAAACGAAAACAGGAACATTGCACCGGTTTCAGCAATTAACTCTAAGGGGGGGGGGGAGGGTATCATTCCGATGTTGGAGTTTGCATGATTGCATCATGAATGAATGTATAATACCCTCGACGACGGGGTAGCCCTTTTTTTTTTTTTTTTTTTTCAAATTGGGTGCTATCTCGTTTCCGTCGGGTTTCTGGATGGGAAGGTGAATGTGGTGGCTTGTATGTAGCTTATACATTCGTCATCTCGCGTGAAAGTGGCCCACGATGGGGAAAAAGGGGCGATGATGATGTTGTAGGATTCGTCTCTGGGGCTCTGTTATAGCCTTTCCGTTCGCCGCTTGAGTGATTAGAGTATCTTGACTACTCCTTCTAGTGAGCCCGGGGCGCTGGAGGCGCTGAATGGTAACCGGTAGTGCATGAGAAGTTCCGGGGAAGGGCAGGCATCTGATCACCCGGCTAAGTTAGACAACTGTCTAGGATGAACGTGCGGACTGGGTAGCCCTCGGATCCACTGGTTCCCGATAAGGCGTGTGGGGACTGCGGGGCGTGATGGGTGGGAGTTGCCGATACCTGAAGGGCCACGTGGGCCTGTTATATTACATTCCTTCTAAAGAGCGGATACTCTCGCCATACGGTTTGGGATACCATGGCCGGGACGCCTAGGACTGGAACCCTCCTGGTGCTTGGTACACGCCACCCGGGGCGCTTGGGACCACTCCTTTCTTGGTGTACGGAGTATGACCTAGGGGCTGTTTGGCAAGATGGCAAAACCATGGTTCGAAACTATGGTTAGTAAACTGACCAATGATAAGGCTTGAATATGATAGTTTTAGGGCCTCCTATTGGTCAATTTACCAGACTAGCCTAGTAACACCTCCATGACCCTTTCCCTCCCGTTTACAGTAGTCCAACGTAGTGGTGTTTAGAGCCCCTTATATACCCGGTGTCTGTATCAGCTCAGCCCGGCAGTGTTTCCGTCACCCGTTGGTGCCCATTCTCAGGCCCAGAGAAGTGGTGCTCTACCCAAATAATCCACCTGGTTCGGTTCGACGTTACCTCGGCCTAGCCGCGGCTTCGTGTCCAACATCAGCTGCCCAGCAGAGTGGCGCACGGTTGTGGGTGTTAACCAATTTAGGGTTGATGTTAGCTCTGCTCAGTGCCATAGCAGTTTGACCATTCCTTCGTTTCCCTTCCCGGTAGCCCAGGGGAGTGGTCTTCGTTCCACTTCCCTTTTTCCAAGTCAGTGCGGACACCAGCTTGGTCTAGTGATACCTCCACCAACCCTTCATGCCCCCTAACGGCAGCTGAGGTATGCGGCGTCCGGCCCCAGCGGTATATCGGCTTGAGGTCCACATCAGGTCGGCCCAGCAGCAATCTTCACCACCTTTTCATGTCCCCGCTCGGTGGTCCAACAAAGCGGCGTCAGTCCCCAGCGTTGGGGCTGGCATCATCTCGGTCCGAAAGCACCTTCACCTTCGATTGAAATCTTCCTGGTTAATTCCGTAGTTTGAAACTTAGTGCAATTCACTAAACTGAGTAGAGAAGCGCTCCTAGGGCCAAAAGAGATTCCTCTTTTGTATAAAAATACCCGCAGCGACATGCCTAGGGTATTGGCTCGGAGCCTTGAGCCTAATCTGCTCTACAGAAGAACTCAGGCTGCTCAGACTTGCAGTGCCCAATATCAAGGGGCCTATTCTAGGAGCGGGAGTATCGCTGGCTCAAACTTTGGAGCCGTCCAAGTTCCCCTTACTAATTGAAAGCTCAGATAGTTTGAGTAGGCTTTAGTATTGATGGCCTGCGTGCTTTCTAAGATAACCCGGCGGCTGCGCAGATATTCTTGCAGGGTTACGTGTATCAGTCGTACCGTTAAAGCCTACCGGTCAAGAGCGATAAGCCCAAGACAGCATCCGAACACCGTATTTACAGAGCCCCCCGAGGGATCTGTATTCGTGCACCAATGCCGCCATTCCCTATACTGGCTTGTTCCCACCCTTGCATCTTTATTCACTCTTGGGCTATCCCTAACTTGTAGAGCTTTCCCTCCTCCCACCAATTATTATCATCTCGCCGAAGATTACATGAATGTGCAAAGCGACGGGCAGTGCCAATTGTTGGTCAAGCAGTCGAAGTAATCCGTAAAAAACCAACATCATACTCACCCAGAAACCTTTCTCAGCCATCCTTGTCAATACTCCCGCTCCGCGAAGCGCCCATTAGATCGCGTCCCGAGTCATTATTCGGCTTTGTGGCTAGATATCATACTTTGTACAGTATCGCCTGAGCCCGGTTGTGAATTAACTTCCTGCCAGCGAACAATCGCGAAATGGCTTTCCGGTTCCGGCTGAATATGTGACCTGTCCGTGAGGGATAGAGAGGTATTGAGAGATCTCTCAACGGGTGTGCTTTAGTAATTGGAGGAACATGGCTCAATTATCTATCTATACTTGTCCAACGCATCGATACAAATGGCCGTCCGGTCGGAAGGCGCAAGGACTTGGGGGAAGCATCTGGATAATTGTCCCCTCCGGCTTGAGAAGCCGTCTAGTATATACCTCTTGCAGCTCGGGAACAAATTTTCCCAACAGACTCCCGACCACGTTCACCGGACTTTTCCCTCCTGTCCGTGTTAAACGCAGTACGGGTGTGAGCCAACATTCGATCCGATTCTCCCACCACGGAGTATCAAAAACGGGGGAGTCAAAATAGAGAGAGAGGGAGAGAGAGAGAGAAAGGCCACTCAGCAGCGGGTGCGTGATATCGAATGATATAGCAAGCTAAACACCATCACACCGATGAGAATCTTTCCCGCCCCCGGGATCCCAGAACAAAACAAGTGATTTTCAAAGGACCTCCCTGCTTTTTCTCGACTTTTTCTCTGGCTAGAGCTCTAGACCCCCCAGGATCCAGTTCCCCCAGCGCCTTCGGGGCATCACGGTGTCACTTCCAGGACTCTAGATGATATCAGTGCAAATAACCGTAGCCACCCATCCAAGTCAGTAACAACATCGGCAGCGCCAGACTAACGGAAACTCTCCAGCATCCATCCGATTATCTATCGTTGAATAATACACATACACAAGCATAGCGGTGGAAAGTATTATGTATAAAAGTGTTTCCAAAGTAGGGTAGTAAATGTGGAAGAAAGACCTATGGAATTATTATAAAGGCGATGGATCATACCAGTTTCCCCCTCCAGGTCTAGAGGGTGTCTTCTGCTAGTTGATATTACCGCTCCGATACTGACTATTGCCCCTGGTGCCCCATTTCAAGATTCCAAAAAGAGATCTCGAAGTGAGGAAGTGCTTGGTTGAATCTATAGGATAGGGAAAAGTAGTATAGCACGACACGATCCACAAAGTGCCGTTCCGGAGACCAGGATGTGTCCTGGTTGTCCATCGAAATTTATATCACCCCTACAAGTAATCAAGTAGTAATTCCGCCATCCTAAAGAGCGCTCAGAGCAACAAGCCACCGGATACGATTCGGTCCCGGCGACCGCTTACCTTCCGACGAAAAGTCTATAATATAGTAAGCAAAAGGAAGACTGAGAGGGAATCCTCCCCAACGCATCCATGGAAGAAGAAGAGAAAAAAAGGACACCACAGTACCGACCCCATCGATCGTACGCTCTGGGAGCCTCCACAGTAGCGCTATCATACCAAACTCATTTAAGACCCCCGATCTCAGTAACTTAGCCAATATCTTTCCCCGTCCAGTTCCTCCCAACGACACCTGGAGTAAATTAATCGCGATATCACACATAATACCATACGCGCGTCCCTTCCCTTCCCTTCCATTGATTCCACCCCTCAGCCCGACAGAGCGCGCCAGGGAACTGGACTTTGCAAACCTAAAATCCCGTGAGCTGCACGTTTTTTTACTTCACTTCGCTCCAAGCCAATGGAAGAACGCCATGCTATGCGACCGAACTCGGCACGTCCCCCCTATTAGATTTTACCGTGGGCGGAAGCCATTGATGTAGTTGGTGCGCCACTCCTCCTCCTCCTCCTCGCGCGGCGGATGATAGAAGGGGGGGTTACCGAATCGGGACTTGGCTGATGGGGGCTGCCGGCGTGCTATATTTATTTGTATCTGTCCTACTCGGACTTGGACAGCCAGGGCGGTGAAAATAATAATAATAATAATAATCGGCGGCGGCGGCGGCGGCGGGGGGGGGTTATAAAGAAGTTGATTTCCACACCCTCTAGTTTCAAGAATTGTTGTGGGGAGATACTGGAGTACAGTACAGTAGATTACTATTCCCTCTCCGAGAAAGCGAGCCTATCATGGGAATAGGGGAAAGCTCTTACGTAACTTACTGATGGATATAAGGGAAGAACTTCAGAAGATATACACGTCACTCCCGCAGATGGGAAAAAAAAAAAGTAAATAAAAAGTAATAGCTGGTAGCGTACGGTACGGTAGTCTTGTCACAGGACTGCAAGACATCAAGTTGGTCTACAGCTCCAGCTTCATTCAAGCGCTTTCCGCCCTCATCAAGCCCAACCAACCGGCCCCACCCGTAACTTACCATCCAAGTACGGTAGCATATCCCGGCTCGCAGGGTTAGGGATGAGCACAGTAACTGTACTCGTACTGTACTCGAGATACATTCGAATCTACCTCATCAACTGATGCAAAGGAGCGAACCAGCGCACGCAACGAACCATCGCCCATGGGGGAAGTGTACAGTACTCGCACAGTACAGTTTTAACCCCCCCCCCCCCGACAAACCGAGAAAAGTAACATCTGCACAAACATGTGCAACTATTCGTATCTATCGATAGTTCAAACGGGGGAAGGGGTGGGAAAATACAAACAAGCATCCATCCCCCACACCTATGATACCTACTTGTATCATATCTACCTACCTCAGCCCACGCCAAGGAAGAAGTGAAACCACCATTCATCGAGTGAAGTAAATTATCGCTTGCGTTGCTGTCCTGGGATTTGGCCATGGCGTCGTAATTAGCCGTAGGAATTTGGATTTTGCACATGTCGTAAGTAAGTAATGGATTTGCCGTATCGTGCTTCGATAAGTTATCTCCATTCCGGAGTGTGTTTGTTGTTGTTGTTGTTGTTGTCGTTGGGGAGGGCGAAAGTCCCATCCGGGGGATAGATGTAAAAGTCTTCTCGCTGTGACCATAGTTGCTGCGATGCTGCTGGCGAGTGTTCGGTCTCCTCGCTAGGTACCGGTACTTATTGTGGGCGTCGGATGTCGGAAGGATGGGTAGGCAGGCATTTCTATCCCAATTTGGTGTCTTCTCTTATTATACCTTTCTTTTCCTTTTTTTTTCTTTTCTTTTTCTTTTCTTTTTCTTTCGGTAGGAATTGATGGCACTAGGTTTCCATTCCAATAAAAGAAGCCCGTCTTGTTCAGGGCTGCCAACACAGTTCTGCAGGTGGAAATCCTTTTGTTCTTTTTTTTTTCCTTACGAGCGCCACTTACATTACCGCCGAAATCTTATTGATTCCCTCCTGTAGAGCTGAATTGTTGCTTCTATATTAGAATAAAGTGGGGGGAAACTCTACGCAGTATACGGGAGCGACCCTGATGCTATCCAACTTTATTTTTATTTTATTCTTCTTTTTTCCACCTTCTCGGAAACGGGTCCGAGTGCGTAGTCATGACGCATGCCCTTGTCTCTATCGTAGGCATGTCTATCATCTAAACCAGATTCAATGGACTCGACAAACAGGAAGCAATGAAATGAAAAAAATAAAAAATAGTGATAGTAAATCAGTAGATACGGAGTGGAGGGATAAGAATAAATAAAGTACAGGAAGAGACAGTGCTGTGAGGACGGGTAGAATATAAGAGCGAAGAAGAAAACAATAATAACAATAATAACAAAGAAAATCCTCCCCAATGCTCCAATTTTTAATTTTTTTAGATTTGTCCCTAGGCCCCCCCCCCCAAGAAAGGGAAAGAAGAAAAAAACCTCCAGACAGAAAATCGAAACGAAAACAAATAACCCAGCCGATAAGAACGATATAGGGAAAAAAGAAAAAATCTTGCGCTTTGCGATTGTGATAGATCGATAGGCCTGTGAAAGAAAAAAAGGGGGGACGAAATCGTTAACCAAGCCAGAAACTGGCGGCCCCGATAGCGATAAACATCCCGACGAGTGCTCTTCCGGAAGGCTTCGACCGAGAAGCATCATTACCGTAATCCACGGCAGCACACACCGGGCAGATCTCCCTGCACTTTTGCTCGACCGGATCGAAGCCACCCATGTTCACCTCTTCCATGAAGGATTTTGTGTCCTTGCATCCGATGCCTAGCACCAAACTCCAATCAGCGCTGGCATTCCTAACGGAGGAAGGAAGAAAAGAAAGCGATCCTACCGCAGCAGCAGGGCAATCCCCTGCCCATCCATTCAGTTTCATGTCCAACATCACAAATTGGGATGGTAAACGCGCCCTCCCCCGCGGCACCCTTCGCAAACCATTGCTTGTCAGAAGGGAGTGCTGCTGAGATCTGTAACCTTTCCGTCATATCTTGGGCAGTGTAATCCAAACCATTGGCAAGATACGCCTCCACACTGGACTGGACCATGTCCCGTGCTGTGATGCCGTATTGGGGTTGCTCGAGTTTTTCGACTGCGATAAGGTCTTTGAGGTTGCCTTCGTCATCGAGGCTGTAGTAGGTGGACTTGGTCAGTTCACGGGAGAAAAAATGCGATGAAGGAAGTTGGGAGAGATATAGTACCGGTAGAGACTGCATACACGGGTTCCATTGCCGGTTATGTATTGCGAATCTAAGGGGGATACAACGCTATCTGGGCTTGTGCTGTTTGCACAGAGGATGAAGGTTTTGGTGTGTTCCCTGCAGCGGGGGTTAGTAACTATCACTATATCCGGGGAGGTTGTTCGCACCTGATTTCATGATTAACGAACCAAGCCACAAGCCGCTTCTTGAAAAACTTTTCCAGGTCCGACTTTGTCCATTGATCATGAAGGACAAATCGCCCGCCGCGGAGGTAGGCACTGCTCTACGTTAGACATTTAGAGCTAAGGCAAAGCGGGGGGGTGAAGAACAAACAAAATATCCTTCCCAGATCTGTCCTTACCCCCCTTGAATATCACCATAGACCACTTTCCCAAGATATCCCTCGCAGTTGAACAATAATCCGCCACAAACGCCCCCAGCTCGCTCAATAGTCGCATCCTCTCGATGCTTGTCCCCGGTTAACCCTATCTCCCACACCAGAAGGAAAACGGGAAGAAAAATAAATGCAACTAACATTGGCCTGATCGCGGGATCAAGACTAACTTGCGTGAAGGCAGCTCCAGCAAAAGCAGCCCCAGAGGTGGAAACTCCAGTGATGAGCCCTTGGCTGAGAATGCCCACGACTCCTTTCGCGGCGAATCCAAACGGGACGAACCCAGCTGCGGTGGAAAATATCGCCGCAAGCCATGGCGCTGCCTTTTCAAGGTCTGTACGAGTATCTTTCCAGGGAAAGAAGTCCTCTGCCACCTCTTCGCGTAGGGCTTCAAACCCCAGCTGGCCATCTCCTATTCCGGCCTTTGCAGAGGTTAGTATCATATGATAAGTACCGCAACTGGACGACTCGGATGCAGAGTTGGAAGATGAAGGAGCATACGTGAAGAAGTCTCATGAACCGATTTAGGTTCGAGATTGCAACTCGGACAAAGTATGTCCATTTGGGAGCATTTGCAGCTCGGAACACTAAGCAAAGGGGCAATCAGAACATAAAAAACAAAGAGATGGGGGAGAGGACCAGTGAGTAAAACAAAAACAAACCTTTGCAGCTCGGGTTAATACACTGGTCCTCGGTATCCACCCCGCAAGCAATGTTATGCGCTGAGTCCCCAAAAGCCTTCCCAAACTCCGCAACAAAGTTCTTGCTATCCCTATCCGGAATCGACTCCCACCACTCCTTAAGCTTCTTATCAACCTCCTCCTTCACCCATGCATCTACAGTTGGCACCCACGATGAGTCCGAGCAATCAACCTCCGCTTGCGCTGGAATTACCACTTCGGTGATTGTTGGCTTAGGTGGAATTCCAGTTTTGGTGGTTGTTGCCTTAGGTGTTGGCGATACCGTCGTAGTCTCTTCCACGACAGTTGAGGCTGTAAAGACTCCATCTTCCCCCTGAGGAGCGGCAAGAGAAAATGAGACCACCAGAAATAGCAAGAGCACAAAAATCATAATTAGTATTTTGTCTTGATCCTACGTTACTGCCCTTTGTTGCTGTTGTTGTTGTTTTTCTCTTCCCCCTCCCTTGAGCGTATTGAAAGTTTTGGGGGTGTCAAGATATTGGAGGTTTGGAGTGCTAAAGGTCTTGAAAGCCGCGAAAGGAAAGTAAACTTCTTGGGTGGAAAAGCCTTCCTTATAAAGTAAGAGATGCCTCTGTCACACAAAACCAATTATCTGATGGGGGAAGGAGCTATAGCATCAGAAAATTTGTGAATTGATCACAACTCGCGAGGCTATGGCCGGCAATATGGTCAGCGGAATGTCTGGTCCAGCCTCAATTTGCGCACAAAAGAGTGCGATCCGGTCGACAAATCGACCGCCTGAGACATAAAATGGGATGTCGCACCAGTAGAAACACCCTGTGGCGCTTTTCTTGCCAATAGGTCACGGAACGATCAGACCGAAGGGCTTCTAAGGTCCCCAAAATTTCTGGAGAAACTACGTGGCTCATGGCTCGCAGTTATTTGTTGGTGGGCAGTGCTTCAGAATACCGGTATCGAGTAAAACGACAAGCTTCGGCGGATATCGAGAAACTTACCGGTGCGTTAACTTGGCTCTTTCGTTCCCTCTGGAAGGGCCCTCCCCTCCACAAAAGCTTCCAAAATACTTAATCCTCACTGGCTCGTTCCAAAAAGGAGCGCTTGGTTGCGCTCATCTCTCCTTCTTCTATACTAGAATAACTTTCGAGCAAGCCGAGTTTCCTTGAAGGGAATAAGACCCGAGTGACCTTCAGTGATTCCCCCCTATTTCGATCATCGGCTAATTAATGATCAGATCCCATACCCCCTGTTGGCCGCCCGAAAACCTTCAAGTGGACTATCACCAACTCAATCCGAATAGTTGATTACAAACCAATACGGCTCGCTCTATCATCCATTCTTCAAAAACCGCAGCACAGCCGCGGTGTCGTCTAGACAAGCTCGAGGGGCAAAGCTACCGTCGGGGGGGAATCCGGTTCAGAAAGCAACACAATGCTACTGCAATGCGCCAACCAGCCGGCCGCAGCGATGAAGAAGCATGGAGACCACGATAGTTGCCCAATCGCTCAAGTCACTCAAAGGAGACCCCCACTATCCCTTGGGCGGTGTGACAGCAGACCCGCTGCCAAGTATTAAAGGTCTAAACCAGATCTGGAATGAGTTTGGTCTTACGATTTGCTAGAAATTCGGGGATTCCCAAGGCACCGAGCCAGTTAGTCAGAGAAAAGTTAGGTATTGCTACCAACACCTATTTAACGGCTTCGGTTGAGTCGGACGATCAGCGAATCGCGCTGTCTCACAGCGCCCAAGGGATATGCGCACAGCCCACACCTCTCTACTATACCGGTACGGTACGCCGTTTGCAGCTGTCAGGGTTCGAAAAACAAGCTCACTCACGCGAGCCCCCAACCTGCAAAGGGACCCCCCCGCAATGCCACCCACTGCACCGGTACTTGTATTATACAAGTGCCGGTACCCGAGTACGGTGCGTCTTCACCGCCCCGTGACTAAACCATGGCGGCGAATAGGAGTATTCAGTGGGCAAAAAGAGAAGTCGTCAAAGCAGCGCAACAAAAAAATTACTTATTCCTCACCGCCCCAGTTCCATCGCGAGTGAGGTTAAGGCTGTGCTCGAGTACCGGTACGGTACAGTACCGTGCTTTCTGGTAACGGTATGTCAGGGCCGGACCGGAATTAAGGCCAGCCAAGCCAACGAAAGGGCAATAAGCACCGTACACGAAAATCTTGCCACCGCTCAGGCCTAGGAAACACCAGGTTTTGCGGATACCAGTAGAAGGCTGCAAGCGCCGCAGGACACTTCTTCCCCTCTAGGTATCTCATGCTAAGGCCCTAAGGGAAGCGCGCAAACAAACGTCATGACTTCCTGTAGTTTAAAACCACAAGTAGCGGTAGCCACCGTAGTGGGAAGAAGCAAGCGGAAACCGGAAGTCCGCCCAAGCGTAAGCCCCGGCAGTCGTATTTCCCTATCGTAACCCCCTCCAATGGAGTCCCACGGTGACCGTACAGTACGCCCAGTACCGTAGGTTACCGCGCTCTCTGCCTGGCTAAACAAACCGCACGAACTTGTATCGTCACGGATCGCCCTGTGGTTCGCCGTCGGGGTTCTGTCTCTTCAAACAGCTCCCTAGGTCGCACCACACAAAAAAAAAAAAGATCCTACTTTTAGAGCCAATGGAAGCTCGACACTCCATCGATGTGCTATCGATTTGGAGTTCGGTATTGACCTTCGAGAGAGGGTCTGAGGAAAGCGACGGAGCTCCCTGATCCAGGAGAGGGAGAGGGAGAGAGGGAGCAAGAAAATCTTTGGTGAATTTTCCCACCAGCAGGATCAAACGGTGCTGCTGAGAGCGATGGCTGGATCCTAAGTTAAAGTGCAGAATTTGGCACTCGCGGGATGATTCTGGCTGGGCCATAGGCATCTTTCACAGGGAGTTAAGAACGAGCAAGGCAACCCCGCTCTGACCGGCTCTCGAGTCTACCAGCACGAATCGCGAGGCTATCGTGACTAGAGTACCGCGGCCATTACGCGTCCCATGAATAGATTGGCCAAGTGCACCTGATAAGAGGAGGATTCAAGGTGGTTCCAACTCCACTCCACGGAGAGCTCGCCTAAATTTCCCCCGCTCTCGTAAGAAGTTTCAGTTGTCAACCCTCGTGGAGAGCCTCGGTCGGGACAACCTACTGCTGGCCAGCACGTTCTGTCAAGCCAGATCCGTGAGGCTAAGCAAGCGAGTGATAGCATGTGAACTAGGATAAAGCCCAACAAAATGGGCACAGAACAAATAAAAAATTTTTAACTGGCCAGCCGCCGGCCCGCAGCTTCTCATACAGACGCCGTTACAAATCCACTTGGGGCACCTCAACTGAAATGGGACATGCACTACCCTTTGTGTGTGGTGGGGGGGGGGGGGCAAGGCTCACTTGGGCATTCAGCAGCGAATGTGGTTTGTGCTTGTATGTTCCAGCGGAAGTAAGCCCGTCGGCACTTCGCACATCGGCCACTCTATCCGAGTATGCGCGGCCCGCATAGACCACACTCAGAAATCGAGAGACAGCTATCGTGTTGAGGAATATAAAGAAATGCGTTGTTAATCAATAGACCACTAAGTTAGACGATTCATGAACCTCCATCTTGATGCCGTAGTCTATCTTATTGAGGGGGCGCCTAATGTCCAGGCCCAAAATGCCTCAATTGTCAAAACCGGGGCGCAGGGCGAACATCATCAGGTTCCGAGAAAACGTCAACGTAGTGTCTGTCGGCATACGGTGCGCACCCTTTGGATGTCGCGTACGGTATCGATCAATACCATAGTTCATATGTCACGTGTTTGCGATCCGTAGGAATATATGCGCGTTGGACTCTTCGCTGGCATCTCGATATCTACACTCGCAGACTGGGAACCGCGACGATAGGAAGGGAGTTACTCTACGCCAGAAGTGAAAAAACGCAGCGCTGGGGCTAACTGGTTAAGTTGGACAGCAATACCTTCACGAGCAGAGAACCTGGAAGGTTTAGAAACAAGGGTACGCGCAGTCCGACCTCGCATGCCCTGGTGCGGATGGGTGGGCAGGGCCCCAATTTGTTTTTTGACCGGGCCATGTCCTCGAGGCGAGTTCTGTGGTCGGCGAGGCTTCTATGATAGATCCCGCCGCCCCCGCTAGCGGCTGACATGAGGTAAGATCCCAACGGCCCACAGTCCTCCCCCTCCCCACGCATCAAGCCGAAATTCCATCCGTATGATACGGTACGATACTGTGGAGGGTGCCGGTAGATGTTTTGATTGAAGGCCACAGGTTTGGCGTGGACCGGAATAGGGCGGCTGAAGTCCGTACAGTACGGTACCGGTACGGTAGTCAGTGCACTGTACTGCCCTTTCTTTCCGTTTATACCAATGATGGTTTCTCCCCTACCGTACCATTTGATACCCGTTACTCGCAAACCCCACATGTAACCGGACACCTTTCTGCTAAGGCACACCGGAAGCACGGATCCTTGGCATCAAGACGTCGGATCTCTTTGGAATTCCAAAATCCGGAAATCTCAATTGAGGTCCAGCAGTGATAATGGCTATCCCTTTTTCCGTGCGGAATTCGGGGTCCCGATTTCTGCCGAGATTCTCCCGTCGGGCTTTGAGCAAAATTCACATGCGAAACGATCAACCTGTGTGTCTGACCCACTTCCCAGTCAAGGACGTTAACTTTTTGTGAGCGGAAAGGCAGAAAGCTTTTATCCCTGTAGTACCGTATGCCCCTCCAACGCAACACTCGAGAGGCCTCGAAGCTCTTCCTCGTTCCAGTATTGTTTACCCCTTGGCCCCTTGTTCCCCAGTCTTTTGCCCTTTTTTCTCTCTCTCTCTTACTGCCCGCAGAATTCAGAGCACACTGCTTTGCGAGATATCGGCGGCTGATTCGCTTTTCTCTCCCCTGTGCGACGGAGGAGGAATTGGGGCTGTCGTGCCGGCCCCTCATCCTCCACGAACCGGCTCAGGGAGATCCAGTACTGTAAAGCATAGCACTCGGAGTTGAGGATAAGTGAGGCGAAGGGGGTTGAGATTGGGATTAGCTACCGTATCATACACTCACAGCGGGGCCACCCGAAGAGCAGTGTCGTAGAGCCACTGCAGCAGGAGGAGTAGAGCTTTCGCCCCATCCTTTTCCACCTTCAAAAGGAAAGAGCTGTAATTGGGACCTTGGTCCGATCACACTCGCCAGATTTTGGTCAACCTAGCAAAGACCGGGGCCGCCTTATCTGCGTTTGCCCTCTACCGTACTCGTATATGCAGTAGGCGCAGCGCTACAGGTCACAGGGGACTATGGCACAGCACTCGTACTTGTATCCTATACAAGCATCATACCGGTACTCGAGTACAGGTAGAGAGGGCCGGCAGAAGTTGCCCACCGTATCAGACGGTATGATACCAAGTTGCCGGGACTTGGGTCACCCTGCCTCCACCACCCAGAACGTCGACGAATCCGTGTCGGCTAACCCAGGAAACAAGGCTGCACTGTGCAATGCCTTCGTGCAAGCACTCGTACAGTACTTAGGTATGGTACTTGTACTGTACGAGGACTGCACACGGGTCATGGCGAGCCCATCCATCCATCCACGCCTCCGATAGTGTGCATCCCAAACCCAACCGACCAGTTCCCCTGGCCCCGTTCGATGATCCAGTACCGTAACTCAACCCTACCTTGGCGATATGCCATTACTGCGCTATGTATCATATTATAGTACTGTCCTCGGGTACGCTTAGCCCTTATTATTTAGGTAATATCCCAAGTTATACGATTGAACCCTACCGCGAGCCTTACCCTACCCCGACCCGATCTGAGTTTCTACTCGTAGTCTATCATACTCCATCCACCCGTTTTGCGCAGCCCCCACCTCTGGGGAAAAAAGTAAAATAAAAAATTCCCCACACCGAATCAGACATGTCCTCCATAAAAAATAAACTTCACAACATCATCGCCGACGTGCGCGAAGCGAAGGCCGCAGCGCAAAGCCACAACGTAGGATCCTATCATGCTCCCCCCACCACCGATATGCATGACCAGCAGCGCTTCCCTCCGCCTCCACCGAAGAGTTTGCCCCACGGGTGGACCGCGAGGTACGATGAGAAGGAGGGGAAATTCGCCTATTGCATGGGAGTCGATGGGGTCGAGCAGTGGGAGTTTCGTACGTACCCTATCCATCCACCAGGGCTTGTCAGGGTGGAGAAATTCTGACGGGCAGCGTTGGGTCTAGCCGTGGAGGCGAGGGTTGTAAGAGAGGGGGGTGGGAGCGGGGCCACGATATGCCCCACGGTCGATGCTGCGCCGGGTGCTGCGGCCGCTGGGACTGTTGGTACCGAGGCCGGCGCTGGCCTGGCCACTGAGAGCAAGGGGAAGGGAAGAGAGCTTCCCGGTAGCAGCGGCCAATAGGTGCTATCGTGCTTATGGCATGATTTCTCATCTTCTTGTTATTGATTGCCCTCCGTTCCTCGTTTCGATGGCATGAATTTCTATGCCCCAACATATCATTGTGAATCCCATCAAGTAATGAATCTCAATTCCAATATTAGCGCAGGCATATATATCAAAGGCGATCTGTCCGGCTGCACGTTGAAAGGGTGTCGGGCACGCGGTATCCGTCTATCCGGTATCGCAGTGGCGGAAATTATGGCCTTCACCGGAAAGCCCTCACAAAATTACCATTTGTCCAGCAGCCAGACGCATAAACATCTGAGTGTTGTCATAAACTTATAGGTGAAATCAAGATCATATACCGGCATTCAGACCTAATGTGCGGATCTACAATCGGCCCGGGGGCCTATGTTGCCGGTAACGTGGCTTTTGTACAATTGCCCTACACCCCCACCCCCCAGGTCCATCCATCTGCCCAATCCATCCACTACTTCTTCTTCCCGCCCTTGATATCTCCCTCGTCAGCCTTATAGCTGAGGATATCCATCAAACTACCCGCTTCAGCGTCCTTCCCGACCGCGTCCGGATCAAGTTCCTTCTCGATCTCCAAAGCATCCTGCATGTCGAATCCATGGCCATACTTGTTTCTGAATGCCTTCAGCTTCCCCGCCTCGTCCTCCTCGAGTCCCATTACCGCCGCATCGCTCTCATTCCATAGGGGGTGATTTCTCGTGTCCTTTGTGGTGCGGAAGACGCCACGGGGAGAGGTGGTCATTTGCTTGAATGAACTGCCGTCCGTCAGGATTATGAGCTGGTCGAATTGGTGAGGACGCTTGGGTCGGCGGAGGAGGGTTGCATTGCGTGTAGTTATTCGTGGCAGTAATTTTGAGGTGTTCGGAGGTGTGGGAACGCGGAGTAAAGGTTTCAATGAAATTGAGGACATGATTGTCGCAGCGGGGCGGTTCCGTGGAGATGGGCAAAGGGGGTGAAGGATGATTCAATATTTTTCTAGAGATGTGGCGCTGATAATGTGGCTATCAGATCACGTGGAGTAATATCAAGGCGCGCCATTTCGCTAACGCACAGCTTCAACCCCTTTTAGAACAACATTGCTTTAGGGTATCCAGATACTGTATGCGAATCAATACTCGAACAAAACCTTAAACAATACGGCCGACAGTACAATTTCTCCCTCCTGACGACTATTATATTAATTATTCATCTCGCTATACCTTGAGCCAGAGGTTGAACACCCCTTTAGCATATTCTACAATTTCATCTCCGCCAAGTTTACTGTCGCCATAGATCCGGTCAACAAAGGAGATTGGCACCTCAGCGACCGAGTAACCAAGACCTCGAGCCCTAACCATCATCTCCTGTATGATAGACAGGGTTGTCAGCGATAGAACCATACCATACAGGACAGAAGCCATACCATCTGGAAGGTATATCCCTTGCTCTCCGTCTGCGAGATGACAGTTTCCAAGACTTTTCTCTTGTAAAGTCGGAAACTCCCAGTCAAGTCGCTGACGTTGGGCCTCAACACAACAGACGCAAGCAAGTTCGCTCCACGTGAGACGAGCTTTCTCTTGAAATCCCATCCGTAAACTCCACCGTTGCCCGCGTAACGGGTCCCAGTAACAATGTCGTAATCTTTCGTCTTCTGGAGCGCGATGAAATCGGCGATGAATTTAGGCTATAATACTCGTGAGCTTCCATTGAGCTTTACCATCGTTATGTGAACTCACGTGGTGGGAAAAGTCAGCGTCCATGATGATTACAAAGTTACCGGTTGCGAACTGAAGTCCATGGACGTATGCAGTTCCGAGACCTAGCTTTCCCGCGCGCGGTTTGAGCACAATACGGTCAGCTCCGTAAATGGAGATTAGTTGCTTTGCAACCACCTGGGTGCCGTCTGGAGACGCATCGTCGACGATAATAAGCTCCCAGTCCAGTTTGCTATTGTTCGCGTATTGTTAAAAGAATTTCTAGCTAGAGCTCGGATTACGGGTGACAAACTGCTTGGTAAAGGTCTTCTCGAGAAGCCAGGTAACAATAGGCAAATTCTTGCGTTCGTTATAGGTAGGGAGAATGATGGTGTACTTGTCCTTGCCAGACTTTGTTGGTTGACGGGGTGCCATTGTTTCCAAGTGTTGTTCCTGTGGAAAGAAGTGTTCAACGTTTGAAATTTGTAGGGATCAGAGAATATAATACACAAAGGAGTGTCGAGAAGTTGGAGCTGGGTATTATCGCTGCTAGCTAGGGAGAACGAAGCAAGTGGGAACAGGAGACGTGTGCTGTTCAGCTCCTGAGAACTCGCCGCCGTTGCTGAAGCCCAGTGGTAAATACAATGTCCGGGTAACCTCTCTGGTGCAAAGAGTTGCCCACAAAGTGCCACAACGAGCCCGTCGTCGAGAAAGGAAACATCCACCCTGTTACAACTCTTCTCCGGCGTCCTCTACTGCACCACCCCTTCTCTTCCAGAACACTCAACCGCATCCACTCGCTAACGTGATCAGTCGGGTCGCTATGGTCACCGCTATGGCAGCCCCCCCGCCAGCCAACGGCGCCCCCGCGAAGCCAAAACAAAAGCTGAGCAAGAACCAGCTGCGACGCGAGAAGAAAAAGCTGAAGAAGCAACAAAAGGCTTCACGGGAAGGAAGTACGGTTACCGATTCTGAGACTGAATCTGTGAGCTTACTCTTCAGTCATTCGAAAAGCGGTCTATGGGAAGAAAAAAGAACATCCCTGACAAGTCCCTGGTGTGGCGATAGGAATCGGAGAAAGCTCCATCGAAACAACTTTCGCTGGTTCCCGAGAGTACGCCCGAGTTCAGCATTGGTGATTTAGAAATAGACGAAAATGATCCTAACTACGCCGAGTATAAAAGAATTCTCGAGCGGTTTAATGTCGATGACGTGAGCACCCTTTAACTACCAGTATGTCGCCCAAGCCCGCGGCTAACAAGGGATCACAACCTAGGATCAAGCAAAGGAAGAAGCAAAGGGAGAAGTAATCTACAATGACTATGACAACGTCCCCGATGAAGACGATGAAAAGGAGGAGGAAGAGCAGAAACTGAGCAAGAAAGCACGAAAAGCTAGGGACAAGCTCAGTGTAGCAGAACTTAAGGTGCGTTGACAGCCTCTCCCCCCGTCTCTTTGAGATGGAAAGATCGCATAGACTTCTTAAACCCCTCAAGTCATAAGCCTCTAGTACGCACGTAAGGAAATATTATTTCCCACTATTTGCACGCATGCGACTGTCGTATTTCAGACTGGTTTGGCTATCGACGCATATCGCATGCTTGAGTGTCTGTGGGGTGTATATTTTGTTTCGTTTTGACTTTATCTTTTATGTCTGCTGACGCCATCGTTTTCGATGCAGGCACTTGTGAAGCGTCCAGAGACTGTCGAATGGACTGACACCTCGGCCCAAGATCCACGTCTACTTGTCCACCTAAAGTCTTACAGAAATTGTGTCCCTGTTCCGAATCATTGGTCGCTCAAGCGCGAATACCTCTCGTCTAAGCGCGGTATGGAGAAGCCTCCCTTTGAGCTCCCAAAATTCATCAAGGATACTGGAATCATGGAGATGCGCGATTCCGCAAAAGAGAAGGAAGATGCCCAGTCTTTAAAATCGAAGATGAGAGAGCGAGTCCAGCCAAAAATGGGCAAGCTTGATATAGATTATCAGAAGTTACACGACGCCTTCTTTCGGTTTCAAACAAAGCCCCAATTAACCATGTATGGAGAGGTCTACTATGAAGGGAAGGAATACGAAACAAACCTAAAGGACAGGAGGCCAGGAGAGCTGAGTGAGGAGCTGAAAGAAGCGTTGAATATCCCTCCGGGTGCTCCACCGCCGTGGCTCATTAATATGCAGCGGTTCGGCCCACCTCCCAGCTACCCAAGTCTCAAGATTCCCGGATTAAATGCTCCTATCCCTCCAGGAGCCCAGTGGGGATTTCATCCTGGTGGATATGGAAAGCCTCCTACCGACGAATATAACAGACCACTTTATGGTGATGTCTTTGGTGTTTTGCAAGCTCAGGCGCCGACGCAAACCGGCGAACCGGTAGAGAAGACTCTATGGGGTGAGCTTGTACACGAAGAGGAGGATGAGGATGAGAGTGACGAGGAAGAAGATGAGGACGAAGACCAAGAGGGCGATGATGATATCGCTGAAGGCCTTACTACACCTAGTGGGATGGACACCCCCTCAGGAATGGTTTCGAGTGTTCCTAGCGAGTTTGAGCCTGTCGATGGTGGGTTTGAGCTTAGGAAGCGAAGAGATGGCACAGAAACAGAGGAGGACTCCATTCAGAGGAGTCTATATACTGTGCTGCCTGAACAGAGCATCCGTGCTAAGGGTTTCTTTGGTGGAGAACGTGCTTACGATATTGGTAAACCTGGAAATTATACCAACTTGCCAGTGCTTGGTCAAGAAGATCGAAAGGTATGCACTTATATTCCTTCCAGCAGCATGTCAATTTCTAACCCAATTCACAGAGGAAGAAGCCTGGCGATATTGAGGTCGCCCTTGATCCCTCTGCACTAGAATCAGATGGTCTTTCGAGTGAGGCGGTCAAAAAGCAGTACGAAGCCGCACAGGAGGCTCAGAGAAGAGAACGGCAGGGCTTCCAAGAAGACCTGAGTGACATGATTGCGGCGGAAAGCCGGAAGAGACAAAAGCGTGAGGAGGAAAACGCTAAGAAAAAGAAAGATAAGTACAGATTTTAAAGGGCGCAACCCGACAGATGGGAGGTCCTTCCTTCTTCTCATTCTCGCATCCATATTTTTCTCTTTCTTCTGTAGTTATACGCGATTCCGAAGTGGCAGCATAATTTAATATAGCTCGTTTCCATCTTTGTCATACGGTAGTTGTATAGCATTCGTACGAGAGCTAGAGGCCCGATTCTTGGGCGCGTGCTTGGGCGCGAAAGGGCCTTGACAAGTAGTCCAAAAGTAGAAATGCAGGTCCCCAAATACAGTACATTGTGACCTTCATTGTAATTGGCTGTGATCCTTGTCTACGATCAATCACTGTCGTAGGCTGAATGATCAGCAGTCACTCGGGGGAACCGCACAGTCAGTTACGAGCCACAAACCCGCCACAAAGAACCGAATGGAAACAGCCCCAGTTCGTGGGGAAAAAAATTGACGGGTATCATACCCCACCCCCCACCAACCCCGCAATTCCCCTCCAAAACTCTTTTTTTCCCTCCCCTACAAGAACGCAACTTCACACCCCTTCCCCCCCTCCTCCCCTCCACTAACGACAACAACAGTATCAACAACCAAAATGCCCTCCACCCAAACCTACGAATCCCGTTCCCAAACGCACCCAACAGCAGCGGGCCGCAAACTCCTACAGATAATGGCCCAAAAGCGCACAAACCTATGCCTATCAATCGACCACACGGACCCGGAAAAGATTCTATCACTGGTGCACCAACTCGGTCCCAAAATCTGCCTACTAAAGACGCACATCGACATAATCGCCTTTCCCACCACCACCTCCTCCTCCTCCTCCATAAAATCCTTCACGAAGAAGCTACAAGAGCTATCGCGCGAGCACAGCTTCATGATATTCGAGGATCGAAAATTCGCCGACATCGGCAGCACAGTGCAGCACCAGTACCGTGGCGGCGTCTACGAGATCGCGAGCTGGGCCGATATAACCAACGCCCACTCGGTCCCCGGTCCCGGCATTATACGGGGATTGAAGGAGGTGGCGGACGGGATCGGTCAGCCGCGCGGGCTGCTGCTGCTGGCTGAGATGAGTTCCCGTGGGAACCTGGGTGGAGGGGAGTACCAGGAGAGGACGCTGGCCATGGCCAGGGATAGGGAGTGGAGGGGGTTTGTCATGGGGTTTATCGCTATGAAGGAGGTTGGTGGTGGTGGGGATGGGGATGAGGCGGAGGGGAGGGAGGGGGAGGATTTTATCGTCATGACGCCCGGTGTTGGTTTGCAGGCTGGGGGGGATGGGCTTGGGCAGCAGTATAGGACTCCCGAAGAGGTTGTTGGTAGGGATGGGTGTGACGTGGTTATTGTCGGCAGGGGGATTATCGCCGACGACGACCCGGTGGCGGTTGCCGAGGTTTATAGGGAGAGGTCGTGGGGGGCTTATGAGGCGAGGGTCAGGAAAGGGTAGGTGGGAATACCACTTGAATGGAGGATTTTCTCTTCCTCTCTCCCCTTCCCTGGAAGAATTTGCTGGGGAGTTGGAAAGGCGAGGTCGCCATTACACATTTGTCACCACTTTCCCGCGGATTTTCCAATCGAGTGATTTCTCATGATGGTACTTATCTCCGTGGGTCTCTCCTCCTGATTCCGCTGATGCCCTCACCAGCATCATGAGCGAGGAAAGCTCACAGGTCAGGTTTACTTATGACACCGGTATAGGATACCATCTCTAACTTATCACGCGCAAGAGGGAGGGGGGGGGGGATTCCGGGTACCATAGTACGAATTCATACGAAAATGGAAATGTTACAAGAGAAACCCTATTGCTCAAGACAACCTCTATCCTCTCACCGATTTCACCCTTTGCTTCACCCCCGAGTAAAAACCCCTCCAACCCAACGTAATTGTGAACACGCGTGCAACGACAACAAACGTAATACCTCACCATCAACTAGGCGTATAAAACCGCTTCCCCCCTTTAACCGCCACCGTGAAAACGTCATCATAACACAAAGCGCGCCCGAGTATGGATCAATCATTCCCGGGCTCACAATGGCACGCTGGATTAGAACTATAGCAGCACAATAAATCACTCGAACCTATGATCACGAGATGAAAGCCAGAATAAATTCAAAAAGTCGTTTAGATAAAGAAAAAAATAATACAAACACCCACCCGCGGGCGGGAACGAGCGTGTGTAAGAACAGGCGTATTCTGTCCAGGGTGAAAAATAGCGTGGGATAGGAAAAGGGCGAGTGTAAAGAAATTGCCGCTGCGTAAGAAGGGGAGAAAGGGAATGACTTTAGTTAAGATGGGGTAGATAAAAGGAGTCGGTCTATGGAAGGTGTGAATGGGTGAGGAATGGGCAATGCTAGTCGGGAGAGAAAGGAGATAGGATGAAAGAGGGGGTAGGGTGGAATGGGGGTTGCGCGGGGGGTGAAGACTCCTTGCTCTTGTTGTAATCGACGGGACATTACTCGCTCGCCCTCCCCAAAACTAAACAAAACACAAATCGCCAAACAGGGCAAAATAAAACTCTTCAAAACTCAAAGCAGAAGTCACAAAAGGCAGACCGACAGACGACACCCAACAAAAAAAATCCCCCCAATCCACCTTTTTCCTTTTTTCTCAATCTCCATTCCCGATATTTCATTCATTATAAAAGAGAAACCGGTCAACCAAGCAAGGAATAGGAAAAAGAAAAGAGGAGCCACTCATCATCTGTGAAATTCCTGCCTCGTTCCTACGTAAAAAGAAAAAGGGAAAAGAAAAAGAGAACCCTTCCGCACTCCCGCCCCCATCTACCGGTACCCAAGCATGCATGTAGTTAAAATCAAATCAAATCAAAAACAAAAAAAGGTACGTAATATCTTTGAAAAGGAGATAGAGAAAAACAGAGATCGCAGGATTGTATGGTTTGGTGAAAGAGTGCATAAAAGAAAACGATGGAAGTTTAAAGGAGAGGGGGGATCCCACCTGTCTGGTATAGGCTTCTTTGTAGCAGTAGTATAGTAGGAACGTGCTATGGAAGAAGAAAATAGGGAAGAAAAGGGCTACAAAACTTTTACTTTATCGTGTAGTGGACAGGAAACAGACAAAAAAGGAAGGGGGAAGGCAAGGTTGAAATCAGGGATGGATGGGATGTGAACTTTATGGGTAGAGTAGTAGTAATAGTAGAAGTGCAGGGTAGAGTAGAATAGAGATGCGTGAGCGTATACCGTAAAATATCGAGTACAGTGTGTGCGCATGGATAGGTACGGGGGGTATGAGCAGGGTATGGATAAATATGATGATGGTACGAGCTTGACTGAATAATAACAGGAACGAGAGAAGGTACAGTGCGTACTATGATGACGAGTAGAGAAAAATCAAGAGATATATAAGGACGAATTTTTTCTTGCCGCAAAAAAAAAAAGAAATCCATCACAACCTTAATACCCACCCAGTTTATGTCGAACGTTAAAGCAAAAGCGATAAAATCAGACAAAAAAAAAACGCCGGTTCTCAATTTCCAATTTATCTTTCCCCCATTTGCAAATATTCCAGAGTAGAGTAGAAGAGAATAAAAAAGATAGACGGGCAAGACTAAAGACAAAGAAGGGGCTTCCCAACTGACAGATAGATGGATAGATAGAGGTTCGGGGGAAAAGACAATCTCTCTCCCCGCAGATGAGGGCAGGTTAAAAAACAAGAAAAAAAACACCCCTAAGTGTAAGAAACAGCGGAAATGATATTTTGGGAAACAGATGGCGAGGACGAAAAAAAGAAAGAACACATTACACTAACTCCGTGCTTTCAACCTAGAGAGATAAAAAAAGAGTAAAAAGGAAAAAGGAATACCGAAATTTCCTTTTATTCTAATGAGAGCCGAGAGAGAGGCTCTGTAAAGCCATCCATGCGTCGTTCCCGCCGTTGGAATGGCTGTCGAGATTGCTGCCCACGTTCTGGCTAGGATGTCCGCTAGAGTTGCCATTTATGTAGGGTGCATTATTGTTATATCCATTCAATTGCTGTTGCGGAAGATGACTGAAATCCTGATGGGGTGCGACCGATGTGTGGGGGGAATGGCGGGGTGGAAAGTTGGCCGAGTTTTGCTGTCCGCGGTGAGACATCGTCGAAGAACTAGATCCGTTTGAATGAGCGTATCCTGAATAAGATGCGTTATGACCCGAGTACTGGGACTGGTGCATAATCTGGGTTTTGAGTTCGTTGGATTCTCCGATTGCCCCGAGGGCCCCCGAACCGGGAGGACCAGATCCAGAAGGATGAAGACCGGAAGGGTGAGCAAACGAGGCAGGGTGCGCAAACGAGGCCGAGTTCATAGGATGCATAATCTGGTTCTGCAGTTCGTTGGACTCTCCGATTGCCCCGAGGGCCCCCGACCCAGGAGGACCAGATCCAGGAGGATGAAGACCGGCGGGGTGCGCAAACGAGGCCGGGTTCATAGCCGACATCCAAATACGAGTTTTATAGACCTTGAAGAGATCAGTGACCAGCGAGTTAAAGTTGATATAGGAATCGGCAAAGTAGTAAAAAGTCAATTTCTTCCAATCCCTAATCCGAAATGTTAGTATCCGATCGCAATACGATAAAAGGAAGCGTACATCTGGAATTCTGCGTCAAGAATTTCCATGGGAAGTCTATGCTCCAAGACCTTCTGTTGACAAACTCTCTTGGCTTTCGCCTCATTCGCCTCTTTATCTCTCAAGGTCTGAATTTCATGCACTTGAGCTAGCCTCTTGATCATCTTGGGCTTCAGCTCCGCAGCGGCACCGTCCTGGCCCTGCATTTGTCCGTGTGCGCCAGGCATGGCTCCAGTTGCGCCTCCATTGGCAAACCCCATACCGTTGCCGTTGGCGCCACTGTGAAGTCCACCAGCTGGCGGAGCACCCGAAGCAGGGGCTCTTCTTGTAGCAAACATCATCAACCAAGTATATTGCTTTTTCGCATGCTCCTCCTTGAGTTCCTTCGCCTCCTGCCAAGTGATATTTTCGGCAGCCACGGTGCCAAGATCAGTGCCTCTATCTGCTTCAACAATCACCAGGTCACCGGCACGGACACGTAGCCCAGTGCCTTCCTGGACATAAAAAACGTCCCCTCGGCAGGCTTTGAATGTAACAAAATACAACAACTGCTGGCTCCTGGGCTGTTGCGCATGGTGGGAACCCATGCCCATAGTCCCACGATGGGGGATGCCCAGGGGGGGAGATGGGAGCCTCGCGGGGGCAGTATACGCCTGCTGCAGCTGCTGGAGATGATGTTGGCCTGGAGGAGTGATGGATGAAGGAACGGGTGCTTTGTTGACCGGGAAAGTCTGCCGCTGACGAAGGCGTGCCTCATCGAGGTAAAAATTGTCTTCATAGCAATTAGCCCCAAATTGATCGGGAACAAATGAGGGGGAGCGAGCATTACCTCTGTTTCCGAGGCCAGCTAATCCATTCTCTCCGTATTTGGGTGGGCTGACATTTCTCTTTGCCAGCAGTTCGCTGCTTGCAATATTGTACTCCTTTTCGGGCGTGTCATTCATGGGCAATCCCCCGGCGAAAGAGTGCCTTCGGCTCTGACTCCCCGATTCCGCCCCCGGGAAATGGCCCGCACTTTGCCAGTGCTGCCTCCTAAGGTTCTCCAGTCGCTGGTTTTCGGCCGGTGAATACATCAGGCTCATTGATCTCTGAGGAGCCTCGCTAAACCTGCGTCCGTCTGCCTGCTGAGCCTGAAAGTGGTGGTAATCCAGCTCGTCGTCATCCGCAAGCGCTGATTCGTACTCCTCGCCGGGAAGGTTCCGCTCACCATCCCGGCCCCCGTTCAAGCCGATGGATGCAAGATTAGCAAGCCCAGCAGCACTAGCGGTTGAGGCAGATCGGTTTCTCAGTCTCATGGACTCATACCTCGACCTCATGTAATTGGACTGTTGAGCTGTAACCGTGCCGCCGGCTTGCTGCAAGTACCCGGCATGCAACCCAGACGATTCCCTGGCGCGACTAAGCTCAGCGTTATTTGCATCATCATCCTCGGTTTCAAAAACACTCCTAAGCGGGCTGGATTGTCCGGCATATTGTTCCTCAGAAAGCAAGCTAGGCCGAGAAGGTCTGTGTTGGAGTCCTGATGGTGGGTGTGGCCTTGGTCCATTTCCAATAGCGGGGGGAGACAACCTGGGACGTTCATCCAAATCACGGGGCAACTGGCCAACAGAAAATGACATGGACCTATAGTTCCGGAGTTGCGGTTGGAGCGGAATTGGGATAGGGAACTCTCCAGTGTTAGGTGTCATGCTAGTGGGGCTCGGAAGAGCTTCACTTCCAGCAAATAGAGGGCTTTGCATGGAGCCCGGGGCAACGGCAGAATGCTGGACATTCAGTGGTTTAGGAGGGCTTTTCCTTGACGGCTCTGAATTCCAAATGGATCCCCAAATCGGAGCTAATGATTGGCTGGCTGTTGGCCCAACACTTCCGGAAACCCCAGCGGCCCAAGCGGTAGTATCACCTTGGGGAGCAGAGGGATGTGAAGAGGTAGGTGAAAGCGGGCCACCTCCAACCATAGAGTAGTTCCTAGGGCGATTCTGGAATTCGGCCGCGTAAGAAGGCCGTCGAGAAGAGAGGGCAGAAAGTGCGCTATTCTTATGCTGTGAGAAGTAGGAGAGCTCCCTCTGCTCGAGTTCATCATCAGAAGACCCCAAAGCATCAGAATCAGGGGAAGAATTTCGTAGTTTATTAGAGTCATCGCCAAGTGATGGAGAAGAGGCCTTGCCCAGCGGATTAAAAGGACCTCCTGTCGCTGTTGCCTGGTTAACACCACTCATGCCAGCAGGTGGGGTCTGATCAAGGGAATTCCGAGGAGAATCAATAGAAGAGATGTCACTCAAGCGAGGGGTACTAGCTGAAGGAATGTCAGACATGATGTCGCGATTGTGCGGGCCTTCAAAGCCGCTCGCTCTATGGTTCGGACGGTAAGACGATAGATGCGTCGTGTAGTAGCTCGTCGAGGAATCCTTCGCTACAGGAGGATGTGAAAGAAGGATATCTTCGTTTGTTTCTTCTAATGGGCGAATGAACGGTGGGTTACTGTAACCAATCTGGTCCTCTAAACTGCAGAGCGGACGATTCTATGAATTGCGAAACAAAACACGCGTGAGCTAAGAATTCACAGGAGCCTGGGGGTATATGAGCCAAGCGCTTTCACTCACTTTCTGCATGCGGCCCTGTGGATAATAGAACGCGATTTTTTTGATCTTTTTTTCTCCAGCGACCGCCACACGATACGGAAAGGGTACAGCGGAATAGGAAAGAAAAACGACGCTACAAGTATCAACAAAAAAAGGTGTTTACCGCACGCAACTGAGGAAGGGGTGGCGGTGGTGGTGGTGGGTGAATGGAAAGCACAAGCGGGCGAAGGCGGAGGGCAAGAGAGGAAGAACTTGTTGCTGATCTGGGAGTCGTTACAACCTGCTCGAGCGAGATAAGGTTTCTGGGAGGGGAGGCAAGTCAGCTGAGTGCACCACAGACGAAAGGCGCAGGGTTGCGTCAAAAAAATCAGCAGTACCAAGCAAGAAAGAAACCGCGAAAAAGTACCGCTGATGCTCTGACGGAGTCTCTGTCGGGCTGACAGATCGTCGCAGCAAAAAAAAAAAAACAGTATGAAGCCCCAATAAGGTCGTAATAATGCTTATTACTTTTTCCTCCAGGATAATCTTGCTTGGGGAAGCTCTGGAGACCCTGGGGTGAGGCTCACCTCGTCGGGAGCAAGCCGTGAAATTGACGGTAGCCTGCTGACAGCCTTGCCGAAGGCCGAAACAGAAAGCGAAGAGAAGAGAAGGAAGGAAGGTAGAGAAGAATTAAATAGGGAAACCCAAACCAAGACAAACCGAGAAACAAAAAGTGTTCAGTTTATGACGATAACAGGGAGAGGAATTCGTTAGGATTGTGAGGTGATAGGAGGATCCGTAGGGAATGGCGAGGGACAACGAATGCTCTATAATTATTGGAGGAGAGAAAGAGGGAGGTAGGAACAGGGGGGGGAGGAAACCTTTTCGACGTTATGTTCACCAGTTGGCAAAGTCCATTGTGCAAGCGCCGGCAAGAGTAGGGGTGGAGGCGAAAACGGGGGACGAGCGGGAGGCGTGATGTGATCAGAGGCAATGATTGACGACAAATGATTGACGACAGGAAGGGGGAGGGGGGTGTGGAGGGGTGCTCTGCTGATAGATGACTGAATACCGGTAGTTAAGCCTTGCAAATTATTATTACAGCAAGCTGACGGCTACGGACTGCTGCAGAGCCCCTTCTTCTTTTCCCTCTTCTCTCTCTCCCTCGCTCGCTCGCTCTCTCGCTCTCTCCGTGCCTTTTTTCCTTTTTCTCGTTTCTCGCAGGAACGGTGAATGGTGATACTATGTGGAGAGAGATGCCTCGACGACGACGAACGAAGCTCCAGCGAGAGCAATGGTGACCGACGACGAGCGTGAGTGATGATGCTTTAAGAGGGTGATGAAGGATTTCCAGTTTTTTTCCCTTCCTTTCCTTATCCCGCTTGATTTTCTCCAATCCGAGCTGCTAGAGCTGATAGGTCCGGAAGAGGGAAGACTTGGAGTGGTGATTGAAGAGGGGTCCGCGGAGAGGGACAGGATTGGGGGGGGAGGAGAGGTGTACGGAGTAGCAGGGAGAGATGGAAAGTAGCGGGTGGTAAAGGAGAGATGGAGGGATGGGTGGATGGATTGGTGGTAGCGGAAGCAGTGGTGGTGGTGCTAGTGGTGGTGGTGGTGGTGGGAGAGGTGGTGTAGGTAGGGGGTGGTGGTGGTGGGTGGTGGGAGCGTGGAAGTGGATGGATGGGGATGGGATGGGGGATGGAGATGGGAGAGAGATGGGAAAAGCGAATGGAGGACGATTTCTTAGCATTAAAGGGAGCAGCCCGGCAAAAGAGAGCACCGTACTCGCACAGTACTGTGGGAGCGAGGGAGACTCTAGCACGGCAGCCACCTCCAGCAGGAGGACGGTTCCGGTACCATATTGCACTGTAGGAGTGGGAAAGGGTATGATAGCAGCAGCAGTGCTACGGTACGCTCAATCAACTTGGCGGCATTGAGGAACGGGGAGAGGCGAGCAGAGAGCAACGAGCAGCAACGAGCACCCCCCAGGAAGAGGGCGATCAGGTCGACGAGGGTTTAGTGTGGAACAAGGGTGTGGCCGAAAAGTGTGGAGGCGGTCGGGGGGGGGGAGGTTGATTATTGTGATGAACGCACTCCGCACTCTATTTCTGGTGAGCGGCATACTCGAGTACAGGAAGCATAACGGTAGGTACCCTGCGTTACTGTGGGTTGGTCCCCTCTCCACTTTTCCTTCCCATTCCCCCCCATCGTTCGGGGACTCGGCCAAGGCAGGAAGCTCTCTCCCTCTCAACCACTCCACTCAATTTCTCACGCGGGGCGTGATGCATCTGTCAATGATATCGTACAGAACGAGGCCGTGAGATACCGGTATGCTCTGCCGTGCCAGAGCAATCCGCTTCCCCAGCGTTACCCTACCGGTACCAGAACTGCATTACAATTACCATGCCACCCCACATCCATACCGTGCCCACCAACCAGCGGCCAACAGAACTGCCAAAATACCGTATCCCGGTATGCCGGTGTCAACTCAGACACCGCCAAGTTATTGTACTTGCACGAGTACACTCGAGTGTCTCGTCCTTATTCTCACTCTCTCCCCCCCCACAAGTATCGTTTTTCTTCGCCTTCCACCGCAAATTCCCATCTCCTCGCTCATTCGATCCCCAGCCCATGCCCGCCGCGGCTCCCTCACGGACCAAAGTAGCTGCCTGCTCGCCTATCGCTCTGTACGATGCGTGAATTAGACTATAATATGTACGGCACTGCGCTCGCAAGCCCTCCTCCATCATATAAAACCACAGCCCGTCCTCTCGCCGACAACCATATAATGGTCAACCAATGCTCATGATCCTTCGCCCACTCATCACTTCCTTCCTCCCCCAATACTCTTTCGCTACCCCCTCCCCTTTCCCCCCAGAACCTCCCACCATCCCCATAAATACTTGTACATGCATTCGGTACGGGGTTACCGCCCAATATACATATCTAGACACGATGTTCCACCCGACGGCCGGGAGGGTATTATCATAGAATGGAAGAAAGGAGAAAAAAGCATAACCCTCACTTCACGGACTGGAGTCCATTTCGGCAATGTTCAAAACTTGAGTGAACCTGATATCCCCGGTTCAACGCATCTCTCGCCAAAAACCTCCGCCCCTCGCTGAACTTTGGAGACCCTCAACTGCTGCACGATACTTCATACGGAAAAGGGGCACCGTTGCCGTTTACCGTTCACCGTTTACCAGCTGTCTACCAAAACCCACTCCCTTTTTATGCATCTTCTGTTTTTCACCCAATTTCCTCATCTTCGACCACCAACTCCCCCCCCCCCTTTATCCCTCAAGTCCGGATAGCAATTCTGCAAGTGCGTGTGCCGAAAGGTACCGCGGCATCTCATTCATCTAACTTCATCCTCCCTCCCCGCTTTCCCTCCCCCTCGCTCCGGTCCCAGGAAGCCCTACCTATCATGCATACCGGTGCTTGGAAAAGTTTTGAGTTTTGATTTTCAATTTTTAACTTTATTACTGTATTGGTATACACCCTTTCTTCTCGTGAACGCCTCAAAATTCCCAGGCGAAGGGAACCTCATCTGGGGAAGTAGGGGAGGGGTAGAGGAGAAAAGTGGAGGAGGGGGGGCGGCCGTTCGCTTGCCCGACACTCAACAAATCAAGAGGCACTCTCATCGCTGGAGGAGGTGGTGGTGGTATGATAGAGTGTACCAGTATGAGGGAGGGGGGGGGGGGCTAGAACATTTTGGCGTGTTTTCCAACCAGTGACAGATTTGCTTGCGCGCCCGCCGTTCGATCAGGTCCTCCATCAGTCCAATCCCTTCCCTTCCCTTCCCTTCCAGGGATGTCTGTTCGGGGTGGGTCAGGTGGCCTGTTTGGTTGAACCCCCCTTCACCAAAGTTGAGTGCTGCCTTACTTACCCCAGGCGAACCACAAACCCCACAAAAACTCGCAAAGGCAAGCCGATTGATTGATCTGTCCGAAAAAGAAAAAGCGAAGAAAGGGGTGTTGCCTTCGGAAAGGAAAAAAAGGGCTCTCTGCTCTTCTCTTCTCTTCTGTTTGCAATTTTGTTTTTTAAACAATCTATTCTTCCCCTTTTCGGTGTGAACGCACCCAACTGACTGGCCGACCAACCAGGAGTACCGTAGGCGAGCAAGTAAAGTCTTGGCATCCACCGTCGATCGCCCTCTCGTCCTCCCAGACCCCGTCCGTGAAGAATGATATCGTCATACCGTAACCCCAACCGCATCAACCGATCGAGTTACTTTCCCCCCCCCCCCGCCTGCTCGCCTCTCTCCCCGTAGGAGCCGAGCATAAAAAGAAAAAACAGGGAGTGTCAGCATAACCTAGAGTGGACTACCGGTACTCGAATACGGTAACAAACTGTCGAAAAAGTCTCAGGAGTCTGGCGCTACTAATGACCTGATATTGGCACTAGTCTAGCTCGAGGGCTAACCATCGGTAGCGCAGCATCAACTGAACTCACTGACTTACAAGTACTTGTACTCGAGGGCGCCCTCACGGGAGTGAAATCACCACCGGCGGGTGTAGGATCGTACGGTTGCCATCAGGAATGTTGCGTCCGCTACCAGTAGTCAAGCTAAACGTGTTGGCCTGGTAAGTACTCGGGTAAACGGGGTTTGCTCTTGGTGACCGCTGCCAAATTTGCTACGCGCTGCATCGGTCTGTCTGCGGCACTGCCCCAGCGAGAAAGGTACTCGAGCAGAAAACTCTATGAGTTATGGTACGGTGTTCTATCTCTATCTGGAAGCACGATGTACTTGTAAGATCATACAATACTCGAGCAGATATGGTCCAGACCCCCCCTGGGCTGTCCTGTACCAGAGTACCATGCGTCCAACACCGGCGATCAAAAACGACAAAGTGATGGTCTAGGAATACGGTATCGAGGCCCAGTATCGTGAAATCCCTCCCCCCCCCCTTTCCCCTGCCCATACATACCCCCTACAAGTGAATAAATTAATTGTGATAACCCACCCCAACCTACCGAAAATGCGGGGTTAGAGTGCTCGTACAGTTACCGTACCGTACCACATGCCCTGCACGCACGCAAGCGGCTGTTTCCGATGGATAGGTGATGCGCTAAGCTAGAGTTGGAGGGGCTCAGGTAGGCCCGCAGCAACCTTGACAAAAAAAAAATCACTTTTTCCATTTGAGAACAATGGGTTGTGCAAGTTGATGTAAGTCATTATCACGAATGCGATCTGTTGCCGTGTTTTGTGCCGGCACGGTACTCGAGTACGGTACGGTACGGCGAGGGGGGGGGGGGGGTTTCTTTCTTCAGAAGTAGGAGGGGATGAGTACCGTAAACTTGCCCATATCACTAGCCGTAATACGATGCTTGACCTCCCTTCATGACAATTTCGATGAACGGATGGATTGGATTAGAGGGTTCCGGAGGTGATTCGTTAACTTGCTACCGGAAGGGGACATTGTAGTGGTACGGGTAGCGTGCTTACCTGATGGTTGTGGTGGTGGAGGTGTTACTAGCTGTGTGCAAGTGCGAGTACAATACAGTCCAGTACTCGAGTACCGTACCGGTATCATACGGTATGATAATGTGGTGCTTCGCCACATGCCTTCTTCCAACTTTGACTATGACTACCGCTATCTAGCTTCTCCAATCGGTACAAAAATATCTCTTCTCGGAAATTTGCGGGGATTAGCTTACATTAAATATTGGCCTATAATAGCCTACCTATGATACCTACCGTATGATACGGTACGGTACCACACATCACCTGCATCATACTTTTAACTGAGGAGGGCACGGTACTCGAGTACCGGTATCATACCAACTAAAAGAATGGTGGCTCAAAACTATGATAATATTATGACGGTTGAAATAACCTTTCTTTCTTCCATTTTTTTTTTCCCTTTCTTTCTTTCCCTTTCTTTCTTTCCTTCCTCCATCCATCCATCCATCCATCCATCCATCCTTTCATTCTTCCTCCCTCTTGTACGAGTAGACCACACCCTTCCCTGGAACGGGCCAACGAAAACCGCGGACGAGATGGCTTGATGGGATGGGATGAACCTGCGCAACTAGCCCGCCAAGTTATCCACCAGCCAGCCCAGCAAGCCCGGCTGGTTTGGCCAATTGGTAAACCGGAACTCCCTCTCCCCCCAATCACGCATCACGATTCGTACCGGCGTGGTAGCCCGTTGAAACGAATTGAAACATACGGCACTCGTACAGTGCAGTGCTTGCGCCGTGGAAGGAATTTTTTTTTTTAAAAAAAAAAAAAAGTCACGAATCAACAAAGTCTTACCCGTACCGGGTCCAACACGCAGGCAACGCCAATCTGGGGTAAATCCGGAGCGTTGGGGTAAATCCGGAGCGTCATAAATGGGTGAACACACGGTAACGGTAAATCACATACGTAAGTTTCATCCCGGCTGAAATGAACGGTAATATCGTGGATGCTGCATTATATTTATTTTTTTCCCCACACAAAGAGAGAGAGGGGGGGGGAAGAGTAAAGTGGTGGTGCAGATATCGTATGGTTGTTGGTGATGGTTTTTGGATCGTGGGCTCGTAAATGGGTCTGTTCTCAGGGTTATGGGTACTCGAGTACTCGAGTACCGGTATTGAGAAGAGGGTAGAGTACGGTAGAGGTTTATGAAGGGAGCAAGTACATTGGTGTGTATTTTCCTACCCGCGGCCGTTAGAAGGCGTCAGAAGGGGGGGGTTGCAGTGGTGGTGCACCAGTTATGATACCGTATCTATCTATCATGGGTGTAGCTAACCACTGAATCTGTTCTTATCTAGCGGATTAGCAATGCACATTAAAGGAATACACGCCAAAAAATACGGGAACATCTCCATCACCTCATCAAGTAGTCTACCAAGTTAACTCTAAGTTATCATCAGGAGAATTGGACAGCCTTGAATAATATCACCCGTCCACCACCTCTTCTCCCATTTACCGGTGTGCAACCAACTGCCATCCACCAGATGACACCCTCTTCCCTTCTTTACTCCAGTCGGTAAACTGTGCCACCCGCCAAGTTTCTTTCTTTTTTCTTGCTGTTCTGACTTGATTTTCCACCTCCTCTTCCCTCCTCTCCACAAAAAAGGGGAGAAAAACCGAAAGGTTTGTGAATGGCGCTTGAGGACCGTGCGTCTTCGAAAACCCGTTTTTTGACCCACTTCACCATTCGCCCTTCAGCGGAGTGGGCTAGGCCCTCGACTCGAAACTGCTCACCCGCCATAACGTATTCCCCGGTCTACCGGTACCAGTAGTGAGCGCCCGTCGCAGTGGAGCTAGACACCCAGATACTAGCCACCATCGCAACCCTGACTGAGGTTCAACCTATTGTCTTGCTTAAACCTGCATATCGCTCGCTATGCCGTGGAATATGTTAGCACAGGCTTGAGTTAACTGCATCATTGTCATCATCATCATCATGTCGTACAATCACTCCAACACGTACGTGCTCGTGCTCCACTGCAGTGCATTGCGCTTGCCATCACGACATGTGCGCGCACTGCAGATTCGCGAGCTGTGCTGGTGGCGATGATTGCGGTGGTGAGGAGATCAATACCCCATTCTGATTTGCCATGTCGAGCATGGACAATCACTCGCTCGCTGGTGCGCACTGCTCGGTCTGTTGGGTGTTTAGGGTAGTCTGCATTTATGCTTTTTAATGCATCACTCGGTTTTCTTCTGAGGGATGCCGAACCTTACGAGTACTCGAGCAGCGAGCCCGAACCCAGGGAAGTAACTTATACTCCCTTTGAAAAGTCTTGATGATCCGGATACCTCTCTGAATAGGAGCCTCTGGGCTCCAAGCTCCCTTGTACCGGAGCCTGACGGGGTTGTCCGGGTCACCTGCTATACCGGACAGATCCTTTGGATTTTGGCCGTCCGGGTATGCGCAGTCACTAGACAAAACTCCCGGTGAACAATATTTCTCTTTCCCTCTTGAACGGACCCCTCCCCACACAGGCCACCAATTGCGCAATACCACCCCCCCTCGGAGTGGCACCGCAATCTCCAGCAAAGCGGAGTTTTGTTTCACCAAGACTTTTATCTGGTAACTGTAGTATGGCGGCCATACTGTAGTATGTTGGCGCAACCTAAAGAACAGCCACAATGACTAGTGCACGAGCAGGCCAGTGCATAGGGAGTTTTCAAGCGGGAGTGTGCATATAAATCCCGGCATACAGGGCTGCAGGAGAGATCCGGGAGAGGGTTCAAGCGGAGCTGGAGTTGGCGCGGAGGGTAATTCATCTTGTTTTCTGCCAGTTCAGTACTGTGGCGACGGCGGGTGGGCTGGGTCAGGTTATTCGGCTTGGTGTGGTGTGCCGCTTGACGAGTGTCTCCAGGCACGCTAGCTCGAGGAAGTGAGTGGTGGGTTTGTTATGTGCTGGGTTTTTCACTCCTGCTGGGCACTTGCTTTTTTTCCGTAACTTGATAACGGGGGTGTTGATACCCTGAAGACCAATGGGCTCCCAGGTTATCAGAAACTTTGCAATTTCGCATCTAGAGCCAAATCCTAGCAATATGCTTGAGTTTAGTCTAGAACGGTGTTTGCTTCACACCCGGGGGCTTTCCACGAAGCCTTGAATTCTGTCTTAGAGGGGACTCCAATACAAATCCGAGTGGTATCATAGGGACGACGCGATGGGGAACAAATGCCCAAGGGTTTGCTCGAGTACAGATACTCGTATAGTAACGCGTTAGTGAATCAGTCGCTCTCCAATTCTGGAGCTCAAAGCACCGATTTTCCGAGTCCTAGGAACCCCCATTTTCTGTGGAGAGATAATTTATGCAGGGACTGGGATGCTTCGCTCTAGCTAGGTCCAAGTTTAGTCCTCAAACTCTATTCTAATACCGGAAAAAGGCCAGCTATGGTATGATAAAGTAAAGACAGAACCTGCAATCGAGCCATCAGGGAAAGGGGCCAGAGCTCCGTCGGTGCCACCAGTTCCCCATGCCCCCAGCGCCATATCCTACTATTTTGTAATGATGTCAATGTGGAGCGGCTTGAGGTCATTCCAACGAGCGATCTTCCCGAGCTCGCCTCACTTGAGGAATAACCCTGAGAGGATCGATTGATGGTAGTTTTTGATAGGGAGGCAATGATAAGGATTAGCCTTGTAGGGCCAATGCTACGACGTCTTCTATGATGTGAAATGACCCATCTCACTCCCCGAGGGAGGCTGGAGATAACTCTCCTGCGAGGGCCAATCCTTAGCTTAGATGCTTCAGAATTCCCCTCTCCAGTCGTCTATCATATCATCTCCTAGCCCATCTTGGCTAGACTATAGCCTTACTACAAGTGGTTAAGCACGGGAGTAAGTAAACCGAGTAGTGCTCAGCTACGGTGGTATGACACCAGAAGTTAGGATAATGCCAACATCTTTGGGGGCCCTCAAACTAGACTATACTGTACTGGGTAGAGCACGGACACCCCCAAAAAGTCCCCGCCTAGCACAACAGCCGATTTTCCCTGCAAGCAATAAGTTACGTTCAGCAGGAGGTGGTTCGGTGTCCCCTAGCGACGGTGTCAACCTGGCATCACAGCTCTAACCCTCCCGTCAAGCACGATAATCCCAGCTGTTGCTGGCATAGATCACGTGATAATATCTTCTCCACTCATAGTTAGCGCTCCCTTTGCTGGGACGCCCTCCAAAGGACACTCAGGGCATGAGCACTTGTATGATATGACATTCCGCCCTGTGACAAACGCTAACTTACGAATCCAATCGCAGCTCCATCTTTGTATATCCCAGATGCGGCAACAGCGGCATGTCGCCCTCGGAGCACCTCCGGTATGCAAGGCTAGTTTTCTTTTCTTGATCTTCCCTGTACAGGGAGCCGAGAGGCGAGGTATTTTCTGCTGGGGTAGATCGGCGGCGTCATCCAGGGTCACTCGGGCTGGGATCTGAGGCACCTCGCGAATAGAGGATAATATTGGGCTAAGCTACCGTGCCGCAGCCATTCGGATGTGAAGTGGGCTCGCCCAACTGGCTCACCCGCCTGTTTCTTTTGGAGGCTGTATGCTGGTCCTCTATGTCAGAGTAAAGAGTCTTGCATGATGGGTGAGCCCGCTTAGACTATATGTCGCTGAGGGGATCGCCCTGGTACTGGAGGTTGCTGGACACTCTTTTTCCATCTGATTCCTTTCCTCTTCTTTCTTCTTTATTCTCCACAGCCCCTTACTGCGGTGCCTCGTTTAGGGGCCCGCGCTCTCTGGGTGACATGGCTTATGAGTAAGAGAAAAGCGGAACAGACGAGAGTTAGAAAAATAGGGGACAGACGGGGAGGGAGAATACCAAGCACCGGTACCCCACCTGAGCAAGCGATGATTCCGAATTTCAGGGATAGGAACTTCCCCTCCCTTTATATACCTTTATAGATACCTCTTTTTGACGCTTCCCGGGAAAGGCGTGGTCACCCAGGAACGTCTACGAGGCAACACGTGTTTGATTACGTCTCCAATACCCGGCAAACACATTACCGTACGTGTTCCCCCGACCTGAAAAAGTGCTACCTAGGACATGATTGATTATTACCGACAAGCCTTTTGGCACCGGTTAGGTCGGATTTGGTGAATCACAAGATTGATTCGAAGTTCCAGAACAGTAGTCCCCTAGGGATCTGCATACCTGGTCACTCGAACGCCGAGTGACATTACATGCTGGACTGGCATGTAAAGAGAGGGAAGTGAGGTTGCGGGGTTCGCACGAGGGCAGATGGAAGGGACAGTGCAATTTTTCAATGTTGGGCCGTGCGGGTTCTTGGGGTATAACAATGTGGCTAACCTGTGTTATCTCATTTATAGCTGGAGAGGGGCACCGAGGGTAGTATCATAGCGGTGAAGGCCAGCCCCGCGGTATGATATCCAACATTCGACTAAACAATCCTAATCAACAACTTTTAGCAACCGGATGTTGTATGAGTGATTGGAAGGAAAAAAGCTTTGTGAGTGTCCTTTGTGGGTCCCCGCCGGCGATCAGCTGGACACACATTAGGATACCACTTATAGCACCATATAAGGGGAATCCACCTAGACTGAGCTAATCAGATCCTTCTACACCCCCCAGAAAATTCCGCGTTTTGGTAGCAACACCCTAACCTCTCGAGCCCAATTGCCAAAGCCTCCTCTCCCACCTCTTCTGTGTATACGCATACATCATGGCTTTTACAATACCTATCCAACCTAGGAGAGCACGGTAACAGGACCCCCTCCCCCAGAACACGCTCGACCGCAACAATCCCCTCCAAACCTCGTGCGCCTCATCGTCTAGAATAGCAGGGTCCCGAATTGCAGAACTAAAGCCACACCAACCCTTGCGCACACCCGAGACCCCACTGTATTGTGCAAAGCTATCGTACGAGTATTATACAGCCTGCACCCTTCCCCCAACAAACCCAAACCTCAGCGCCGCGTAACCCCCCAATCCCCAGATCCATCATACGATCACCCCAACCTTAATAACCCATAACCCAATCATACGCCCTCACTCGAATCCCCTCCTCCGCTCCACATCCAAGGCCGGCCTCCCTTCACTACCCCTCCCCAGGTCTTACTCTCCTATCACCCCGCCCCGCCTTGCGCTCCCGAAGCGCGGGGACCCACCACCCTTCTCGTACGTAGCGTCTCGGCCGGTTAGCTAGCCAGCTCCCCAGGAAAGTCACACCCGCCCCAGTCAGGCGTAACAAGCAAGCAAACAAGCCACAAGCCAATCGGGTAGAACCAATCTCAGACAACTTACAGTAATACAATGGAAACGTCCCATGCACGGTGTCGTATATTTGCGGGGCAGATCTCGAAGCTGGGGGGGGGGAGAGTACCCGTATGGCTTTTACTCGTAATTTGTGGGTTTTTATTTTTTATTATTTTTTTTCTCCCCCTCCCCTCCGCTCCACGTGAAGCTAGGTATCCTAACGCTCCTGTACAATACCATTCTGTGCAGTGCTACAGCGCGTACTATCGAGTAGGAAAAGCAGACTAGTCATGCAGTTATGATTCACACGATCACGCAGTGGAGAGGAGGAAGCAATTGGGGAGAGAAAGTATCGTAAAGATGTTTTGTTCAATTGGAGGGGTTGTGCGCGGTTAGACTCGGACTCCTTCTTCCATTGGCCCCTTTGCTGACTTGTGGTAGGATATGATACCAATAATGTAACTGTTTGCCCATGGGGAGAGAGATTGTCAGGTTGTTCCTCTGGGGGGGAGGGGGTGATCTGATGTCAGGTGAGGTGATACGATCTTGTATCATGCCATACCGTACAGTACAGTGCCATTTACCATACCATAGTTCAGTTTGCTCGGCGCGCTGAGCAATCGGTGCTTCACCACTGATATACCCGGGATGACAACCTCCATTCAATGGCACCACTCTGCCAACCACACTGCACCTCCCTCCCCCTCCACAATGAATACGGCGTTGCTTTCCTCTTTCTTTTCTTTCTTTCTTTCCTTCTTTCCTTCTATTCTTTCTTGTAGGGAACCAGCAAATTTGCCCTCCAGAATAGTTCCCTTTCGAAACCCCGCTCCCAATTGGCCTATTTCCGTCGACAATGCTTGTGCAGCTTTGTCAGATACACATGAGTGGACCGACCAAGATGCGATACGTCACAATATGTCTGCAGAAATGGTTCAAACACCATCCATCCATCCACCCGTTCAATATACCCATAGCATAGGTACGGAGTACCGTACTGTAGTCTACTCCTACTAAACTACCAGTGATCTACATCCACCCGGCACGAGTCACGAATACGGCACAGTGCAGCATCGACCAGAAAAAAGCTCTCCACCAGACGAAACTTCACCACGGATGAGAAAGAAAGAAAGAGAACGCTAGTTCAATCAACCGCTACTCGTACAGACTTCTCGGGATTTGTTCGCTGGCAGTTGATGCCTATCATCATACCGGTGATTGACCACTAGCATACTCCATTATACGGTACGGTACCGGACTAACCCAGACTAGAAGGATATCATACATATAGTACCGTACGGTATCATACTCTTCGTACATGCTTGTATGATACGGATAGATATATGGATGGATGGATGGATGGATGGAACGAAACGTAGCGGGTAATACCCCTCACAACATGCGGTGGAGGGGACGTTGACTGCGTACCATACCCGTAAGGTACAGTACCGGTTAGGGGAAAGGGAAAAAGGGAAAAAAAGGAGGTTATCATACTCTTTCACAAGAAATTTCACTGTTTGATGCCCGTTATTGTACTATACTATGGTGAATTGTTTTTGCTTTGATACGGCTCCATGTGCTTCGACCGTGATACGGCGAGCTCGACCATTCGCGGGTTTGATCAAGCACACCTTTTAGCTGTGCTCGGGTGTTATAGCCTATCCAGTGCTTTCCCTATCACCGGTACAGTACTCGTACACATTCATTCATCCACCCGTTCGTTCGCTGTTACAGTACACGAGCGCGGGTATTATTTTTTTACCCTACTCGCACAGTGTATAGAACTTCACATTACATTTCCTCAGTTTGTCCGTTTTTGCAGCGCAGAGCGAAGCAATCCTTGAAACATTCCCAAACATACTTTTGCTCGACACATCCCTATCAAAACACGGTTGCTGTACTGTATTGTATCGTGTCACACACCCCAGACATACACCCGAGACCCACACTTCCGTCCAGCAAAACTCACCACGTTATTTCTCCATCCCATCATCACAACCACACGGTACTCGAGAAACTCTCCCCCCCCCCACCCTCCTTCATTCCACAATCGCCATGCACCCTACCACAAGCGGTACCACACACCTCCCGTTCGTAACCGTACGAGTTGCTATCTACAGTGCACGCCATCCCCCTGATTGGTCGGTTGGAGGCCGCATTGGAATGCACGGCAGCTACGGTACAGCAGGGTTACTGGCTTCATGTGAGCAGATTATTTCCCATTCTTGCTCGATTAGAAGAAAAAAAAATACTTTCCTTACGAGTACATTGCTTCCTGGCAAATCACACGGTTGGTTGGATACAAACTCATACAATAGGGTTGCGGTGATTCGGTACCGTCGGGTGGGAGACGAGGAAGGGGACCAGCGTCATCATCATCATCATCATCATCATCATCAGCACCATCATCGATTAATCAGGGAGTTTAATTAGTTTCTCTCCCTCTACTCGAGCATCATACCTCTCGCCTTTTCCCTTCTGGTACTCCACGGTAGCAGTATGGCCTGAGCTGGAGACTGTCTATCACGCCATACTCTAGGAGTCAAACAGAACTTGTGGTGCCACCCGCGCAGATAATCAACGGATACGGTAGATAACTGATGGAGGGATGGATGGATGAGGCTGATTACAAACGAGACCGATAAGATGAGGAAGATGAGGAAGGGGGAGGGGAGGGAACACTATCGTGGTCAGTCCGAACTCAAACTGGACGAGAAGCGATAAACCGAGAACTCGCACAGGCGTTGGCAGGGAAGATGTAGTTGGTAGAGAAGTTCATCAAAGTCCGTCAATCAATTGCCTGCTTGCTTCTTTCTCTTTTTTCTACGGTAAGCTCAGGGCGTATGATAGCTATCGATGGCTCGGATTTCGGGCGAAACCTATCAGTGACTATCACCACCACCACCCTTCGGATAAACTCGCTCGCTTGGCCAGGAGGAGGGTGAAGGGCACAATGCAGGGTAACTTAAAACGGCCGAAAGCTGGCCGGTGCTGGTAAGAAGCGATCCGTCTGTCCGTCTCTACAAGTACGAGTACAAGTAATTGTGAGGGGGGCAGGCACGGCACGGTAGGGCGATGTGTTATGATAGCAGTCTTTTTGGTAGACTATGATAGGGTATCATAATTCAAAACCCACGAGCGCGAGTATTGCAATCCCGGAATGCCGATATCATACGGTACTTTCATGCTAATGGCCGAGACACATCAAGAAGCTCCTCTACCCACCCCCCTTGCCTATCCTATCCTTCACCGTGCACTTGGTTTCTTAGGCTTGAGGGGGGATCTTCCCTCTTTTGTTCTTGTTTTGTTCCGCTTGGCGGGGGGAGGGGCGCTTCTAGACCTTTGGTACTTGGGTATACATACAGAACGGTATGCAGGATTATGCACTACTAGTACTCGAGTACTCGAGTACTCCTAGTGGTTGGTCCTAGGAAAATTTGACCTGGTGAAGATAGCGCGGTGATGTACCGTACAATAGTCTACCGGTAGTCGAGTCCCAGTATGCACCGCATCTTGAGTTTAGCTTCCCAACCACCATCAGATTACTTTGCCCGCCAGCCAAAACTAACAACTCATATCTCTCCACCTTCCTCCCTCCCTCGCCCTGTGGAAGGCCTGTTCTTTTCGAATCCCTCCTCCGAGGACGAGGGAAGTTTTTCCCGCGGCAAGAAAAAAGGGTCCCGAAGATCTCTTATGATCACCGCAGCCCGATGAATTGGTCTTCCAAGCCAGAGTGAACAGTGAAGAAGGGTGCATTCTCACTCGCTCACTCGCTCACCCTTGCCCCTGCGCTCCCGAAATAAGATAAAAATGGCTTGTTTACTTACGGTAGCCATGCGCTCGAGTATCAAATTTGGACAGTAAACTACCGGTACGATACTTTGAAAGTTTTGAACAAGTACTTGTACGGTAGGGATCCAATACCGATACGATAAGCTTATTTGTTTATTTCCCCCCCTCCCCGCCACCGTTGGAGCCGTCGATCCCTGAGAGTTTTTTTTTTTTTTTGAAAAAAAAAAAAGAGGGGGGGTTCCCAGAGCAGGGTACGGTACGAATCCGACTAACGCTACCGGTACCGGAATTGATCTGCAGTATCGTATTTTCCCACTTTCCCATGTCGCAACCACAATCCGCCGTGCAATTTAGCGTACGAAACGGGGTAATCGAGAATCCCGCTAAGGACGTTCGAGGAGTGTCTCTAGCAAGCGCTACTCCCTCTTTATCTGCCCCGACCGAGGGCTAAAAGAGAACTTTTTGGCCGCGTTTTCTTCCCCTGGTCCAAAGGGGGCATTTCTGGACGTCCTAGCTGCCAGTGTGGTGTTCCGGCTCTGGTAAGGGGAAGGAGTGAGTGAGTGGGTAGTGTATGGTACGATGGCCCGATAATGTAGTCTTCCGGTAACCTATCTGAAGCACCGGGAGACCACTGCTGTATGATGACATCTATGCTGATCGATAACGCGGTACAGCACGAGTACCGTGCCGTACCGGACGGAACCGGTAGCTGTCAACTCCCCATGTATGATGTGAGATTGGTCACCCGGGAACTTTTCATCGTGCACGAAAAAAGGGAGAAGAAGCACCAAAAGAAATACTCCGGAAACGAAATCTGGGAAATGGGGCTCGCGGCACCGCACTGTACGATACGATATAGTACATACGATGCCATACCGGCCATCCGAAAGGAATATTGGAGCGTCGGCGGTTGTTGGTGATCAGCTGAGCTTGGGGAAGTGGTGGCAAGGAGGGATTGCCGTTAGCCCGGTTTCCCTGAAAATGCTTCGCTCTTCGCACCAGCGGTGTGAGTACCGTAGTACCGGTATCGGTACTCCTTATCGCGCTCTGAATGGCAGTGAATGCTACCGGAGTGCTCGTACCATAGTAGGCAACCATGGCGAAAGCATCCGTTTGCTTTGATACCTGAATGGCACTCCCTCACTCCCCTCCGCTGCCCTGCCCCCCACGATCCACTCTTTGCTCCCCTAGTCTGACACCCACCCCATAATCACACCCATACCGCAAGGCGCGCTAGCTTCCCAAAACTGGGAAAGATCTACCACGGTAGCACGCCCCCTCCTCCCCGAACCTCAAAATCCAAAGGATCTGTCCGTGGTCCAGGACAAAAAGTCAGGTTCTAGTGCAAGGAGATTTAGAGCCCACAGAGGTTCCGGGGTCAGGGAGGTGATACGAATTGTCCAGACCCGGGATAGCGGGATGTAGTTACCGTACATTATTATTAAAATACCGGTATCATATTTCTCGAAATTCTCGTGCCCTTCCTCCATACTCGAGTACTCTCCTTTCGCCTTAAAACTGACCGGTCGCGGCTTCCGCCCAATCAGACTTCTCCCCCCAACCACTGTATCGATCGTGAGGCCACTTGTTGAGCCACATATCATAGCACCATCCATCATTGCACCCGCCACTCTCCCGCTATCAAACTTCCCGATTTTTTGGCAACGTACGTACGGCGCGGGCACTTGCTCTGCAGTAGGCTGCCGGCGCCAGAATTGCTGACTTTATGAGATCACCCTGACGCATTGGTTTTCCTTTTTTTTTTCCTTATCGAAAGGGAGCAACAGTTTGGTAGGGATTGGAAGGAAGGAAAATTGTCGGTGGTGGAGGTTTGGTTTCAATACTCAGGTGTGGGAGAAGAGAAAAGTCTGGGCCTTGTCATGAGAGATCTAGAGGGGGAGGGGTGGAGAAATGCCTATGATATCAAAAGGTGCAAACATGAGAGGTGCTAAAATGTTCAAGGTATCATGGTTGAAAATGCTTTTTTTACCGGTACCCTGCCCCCCCCTCCCTCTTCGTGGTAAATCGAGCGTGGGAGGGTAGGACGGCAGCTGGAGACTGGAGTTGGCTGGATTAGTGGGCTGGATTGGTTTGTTGGTTGGTCGGTCGGTCGGTTTCCTTTGTTACCTTATCGCGAGCTCCCCTGCCTAGCTCTTCCATACGAGTACAACACCGTCCCGGCATCACACCGGCGCGGCACGGCACTAGTAGCTCGAAGCAAGCAGGCAAGCACACTCTTTTTTGTTTGAAGAGTAAGTAAAGTTGCACAACATGTGGAAATGCTGTACCGTACCCACCACCAACTAATTACCACACACCACCAGTTTCGAATATCAAAAAGTGTGTTCTTTTGCGTAAACACCCTCCCCCCTTTCACCCCTCCCCCCCCACCTCTCCACCAATACCTCTCAGAGAATAAAAGGAAATACTGTACTCGAGTAGATTTAGCTGGAGATACGGTGGTAGAGTTGTATGATAGATAAGGCTTTCTTTCCCAAACCTAACTTAACCTAACCTAATCAGTGTCGCATAAGACTTCCATGCCAGCAATGCATTACGGGGGGGGAGTCGTACAGTGGTTTGGACCATCAACTTCAACCCAAAATACGGCTACCGGAACTTCCTTGTCTCGAATGAATGAACTCTTCCTAAGTACCGGTAGTCTAGTCAACTGACACCACTGCTGCCCACCCATCCCCATCCTCACCCCCTCTTTCCCTTCTTCTTCCTCCACTCCATAAATTACCGGTACTCCATACCTACTCGAGTACCTGATGACGCCTGTTTCCTGCCCCAGGTACGAAAACAGCGTTCGCACGTTGAAGCAGAAGAGGAAAACCGCATAGCGTAACCGATTTTCGATGCAACGCGCAAAGTACAATTAGAGGGAGAAAAGAAAAAGCAATTGAGAAAAAAAAAAAGGTACCGCGAATCTCTGATCCAGCGCAATAGATCTGATTCTCAGCGACCCGAACTAGCCAGCGCCCCCCTTTGTCGAGTGGAGGTTACTGTATGTACGGTGCCAGTCCGTCTGTAGGTTCACTTGACGGGACTGCGCTCACACGTCTTTGCCAAGAATGCCTCCAAGAACCGAAAGTTTGGTGAGGATATCGGCTTGCGGACCCTTGGCAGAGATGCGCGAGCAGGTTGCATGCTTCCTTGTCAAAGAAGAGAAGAAAAATAAAAAACCCGACCGCGTGTGTGGGAGAGAAAGTGGAACGGGAAAAAAAAAAAAAGACGAAAAGTCCGTTCGGACCCGCTACAAGTACTCGAGTACCCATACCTGTTACTTTTTTTTTTTTTTGCTCCTTTCGTTTGGTTCTCGGTAAGTTTCCGTTATCATACCTTGCCCCTTGTTGAGGAGGGTGAAGGACGGTTGTCGGGGATTGGTGGGTGGCATTGTGGATGCCGATTGTGGCGCCAATCGGGATGAGTGTCCGCCCACCCTTTGAGAGTGAGGCTTGATTGCATTGGATTTGATGTGGTTAAAGTACCGGTAGTGTTGGCGGCGGTGGTGGTTACAAGTACTCGTACAAGTACAAGTAGACGGAGAGCGGGAGGAAGAAAAAAAGGATCAACTCGGTCTCACAGCTCATTACTACGGTACGGTACTTGTATCATGGCTGTGATCGGAAGTCAAGTACGGCAGGTAGGCACTGTGTGCTTGTACAGTACAAGTACTCGTACGAGCACATGTGGCTATGGGGAAATCCGTGATCATGGTTTCATTCATTTTACACGTTGTGTTTGTTGTTGTTGTTGACAGCGGCTTGAGTATCGTGAGACCTTTTATGTATGATGATGATGAGAGGCAGTCTAGCACTCCCGAGTGATAGCTGTGTCGGGAGGGGGGAAAAAGCGGATGGAGAGAGAATGAGGGAGAGGGGGAGGGAGGAAGGGAGGGAGAAGGGGAGATCGACTGGAATGCACGCGCAAAGCACGGGTTGGATGTTATGGTAAAACACCTTGGTGGGGGGGGGAATGCCGGTACCGGTATCATGCTTTCCATTGGAAAGAGAAGGAAGGGATTATGGCTAATTCGCCTCCCAGGTGGGGAGACGAGCACGGACATTACTCGAGTACTATACTCGAGTACGGCGAGTTGAATGTTGGAAGTGTGGTCGAGGTCTTCCACCTCCACCATACTCGGAGCTATGATGACACCAGTTTGCCTTGATTTGAGTTGCGTTACGTTGCGTCGCCGCCATCACCAGTGCCGTACGCTGATTCGGCCCAGCCTTGTAGAGACGAGAAAACGTACCGGGGCGTTGTTTGTCCTTCCTTCCTTCCTTCCCTTCCTCCTTTCCACTCCCCCTCCTCCACCCCGTCTGCCTTCACCTGTCCCCTCCACTCCTAGGCCTTCTTCCACCACCATCACCACAATCTCACCATCCCGTTCCCCCCCCCCTCCACTCACCTCCACAATTCTCTCCACCCTCCATCCTACCTTCTTCATCCCTGCCCTTGAAGTTTCCCCTCTGGTGTCATCATGGCTCCTCCCCTCCCTATATAAGCCAGAACTACCCGTGGAGAAACACCTTCCCGCTCCCGTAGATTTGTCTTCTTCTTCAAGGCGTCCGCCCCCTTCCAATCCAAAAGTCATTTTGTCAAACAGACTCCTTCATCCAATTACTCGTACCCCTGTCAATCCAATTTACCTACAAACGGACTCAGACCTCTCCCGGCTACGGAATCTCAGAGCTTGACAACGGTCGAAAAACCTATCGGGACCGAAACACGCATAAAAAATCACTCTCCCCCCTGAGCAATTTAAAAGGGAAGGAATAAGAAAAATAAAATAACCACCCCATAAATTCTACGACCCGTCCGTCTCCTTTCTCCAACACTTTTAGCATTCAGATCTGTGTTTGCCAAATTTTTTCAGCTGGCCTCGTTAAGAAAGTATCCGGAGTAGCGATCAGCCCTCTCCCGAGCTGTCTGAAAGATGCTAGAGACAGCTAAATACAATTCTTCAGCCCTCGACCTGCACTCGTCGACGCAGAGATCCTCATCGACTACACCAGCAGATCCCCACCGAGCTCACCGGAGCATACGCTACGACCTCTTCAACCCCCAATACGAACTCTCCCAGCAAAAATCCACTCGCAGCCGATCCCTAGGCTCCAGCACCAGCAGGCCAGGCAAAGCCTCCCCGCAACGCGATCACGACAGCATGGTCTCCCCTACAACCCTCCCCCATTCTTTTGGTGCACTCCGGGACTCTATCCACAATCTCGATATGCGAGTGCGCAATTCACCGGGCACCTCTTCAGCTCCCGGTTACAGCCCTTCTAGCAGTGTTTTCGAGAGCCTTTCCGGCCCGGACCTGAACATCCGTCGAGCATCGTGTGGCTCGTCACTGCACAGGGGCGTGGAGGAACTAACTTTGGGTGAGTCCCGCCCCTCCGGTCGTCGCCACCACCGCCGAAGGACCACGAGCCGAAGTGGGTCGGGGGCGAGGGAGGTGCGGATCGAGGATACGATGTTCCCTACGACGGTGGAGGACTTGCACCACTGTGACGAGAAGCACTGCTCTAACCACCATCACCGACAATCATCATCTTCAATTGTCTCCATCAAGTGCGATAAATCGGACGAAGACGAAGCAAACGCCAAAGAGCGACTCGCACACGGAGAAGTTGGAGCAACGACACACATGGAGCCCTGTGCCCCACAAATGCTCGTCCCACTCGTCGACCGCCCACGGGAGATGCGCGAGTTGCTGGGACACCGCTCAAATAAGGACTGGGCCAGCCTGGTTCGTCGGACCTTCGGTGAGAAGGTGTATAAAGCGCAGTGTCTCCCGCTATGGACGGAGACCGACCGCCGGACTATGCCGGATCGCGAGTGGCTGAGACGCACGAAGGACCTGCTCATGCGCAAGGCCTGCGGCGGGTGCACCGACGGTCGTCTGTGGAGCGGGTTTTGTGCGATGGTCGGTTGGGACGAGAGTGGGATCGGGATGGAGGGAGGGTGGACGAAGAGCGGTCACTCGCATAGCCCCAGAACTCGATCGCACTCGCATGACTCCAGTCCGCAGATGAATGCGATCTTGGAGGCGGAGGATGAGGATGGGAGGAAGTAACTTGACTTCGTTTTTAACTTTATTGGGTAGATCTGGAGTTTTCTTTCCTTCCCTTTTACAGATGAAAAGCGATAATCTTTTGTTAATTTTCTTTTTCCCTTCCTCGCCTATGATTTTGGCTGGTACTGCATTTCTCGGTGGTTTTTTTATTTCATGCTTGGTTTGCTTTTGCTTCACTTCTGGTACATTATTAAGTTTAATCTGTATAACTATGTCGACTAACCACATGGTTCCTTTACTTTAATTTTCCTTCATGAATGTTCTTTCCTTTCTTCAGTTTTCCCCTATTGCCTACAAGAGGAAGGATTCAAAATCGCTGGACAAGCGTGGTGTTGTGGCTCGGCTTATGGTATAACGGGTTTCCCTTTTTTTTTTTTTTTAGCTTAGCCATTACCCTCTTTCCATCTTGTTGTAAATCTGTAACTGTACAATTAGAGACAAAACAATGAACTAACGGACCAAGTAATAAAATTTTCCTTCCCCCTCTTAGCGCGGTCTGTGCTTGCGTGCGTGCGTGCGTTTTGTGGTCGACCCGGATCGATGCCTGTGCGTATGATACAGAGGGGGAAATACATGCCCGCTCCATCTAACATGTCACATTTTGGGGAAAGTTTTCGAATTTTTCCATATATATGCATGTATGTTGTACTTGTACAGTGCGGCATGATTGGTCGGTACGATTTACCCGACGAATGGATGGCCGGGTAAACCGGAGTCATGGGGTATCACTCTGGAACTTGTACCCGGTGTTGGGAGTACGGGAGGGAGGGATGCGGCCCCGTTTGCCAACTTGGCGATGGGAGGGGCTGTATTCGTGTAGAATATTGCGCCTTGGATGGCGGATGCCAGAAAAGAAAGAAAGAAAGAAAGAAAGAAAACATGCCATATCATACGATACCGAAGATTCGCCATCTTGTAAAGTATCCTTATCCATCCATTCACCTCAAGATAATAAATAATAATATACCCCCAGAGCTTAACCCTTCCCGCTCACCACGGTAAAAAAAATCGAGCCACTCCTTCCTTCCCCTGCACAGTCCCCGAGCCGGAAGAACCGAAATCCCGTCGGTTCCCATCCCCCCCTGTTCCGGCCGGGTACGAGGATAGTAGGTATGAGATAACTTATAAGCACAAGTGAAAAGTTTGTAAATTATCATTGAGTGCCTAGATCGGTGGGGACCGTGCGCGTTTGGCAATACAGCTTGATATCCGCCTTGGGGTTGCATGGGGTGCATGGGGGTGCATTCGATCCTATCATGTACTCGAGTACTCGTAGGGTACGGTACCGTAACCAACTTGGCACAATCCTCTTTTCTGCGAGGTTAGGGATGGCGGTGGCGGTGGTGTATTTTTTTTCCTTTTTTTTCTTTGATGCTTTTTTCTTCTTTTCCTCTTCTGGGATGTCATTGCCGTTTTTGTTCGTTGAGGAAGGGGTTATTATTCTATCCTTTGTTTCTGCTCGGTGTTTTTTTTAATTTTTTTTATTAAATTTTTACTTTTATGACATGTTGCGGTACTTGCGACATGTATTGTCACTCGATGTATTTCCTGGATCGGTATAATTACTTTTTTTTTTTTTTTTTTGTGAGGTGTCTGTGCCTGTGTGTGTGTTTGTATGGTGCCTACTTTTTGCCATGATTGATGTTGTGTCGTTTTCTGACAATGCGGGGGGAAGGTAAAAGGGGTTATTCGGTGAGTCTTGTGCGGCACCAAGCTATCATAAATTATAATACTTTCTATTTCTATTCATCGATCTTGATGATATTTCGCGACGGATTTGACGTTCGAGTGACATGCTGTGAGAATGCCTTCCCCCCCCCCCCCCCCCCCCCCCATCTGCCGGGATTTTATCCTATCCATCCATCCATCCATACTTGAGATTATCTATGGTACTGTACTCGTACGATGACGGTGGTGTTATATGTCATGATTAATAAATGCCCGGTGTTATACTAGGTAGGCGGGTAGGTACGGTAGACAGGCAGATAGGCGGACAGACAGACAGACAGCGAATGGTCTTGATGTTTTTTTCTTCTTTTTTTTCCTTTTACACAACTTGCTGTGGCAAAAACAATTGTTAGATGGATACCCATAATATAATGGTGAATAACAATTTTTCCAATTCCGGAATATCCTGTTCCCATTGTTATCCGTTGCCTAACTAACTATCTTACTCTTTGTGATTTTGCGCTGACCACGGCTCATCGAGAAATCTGGTGGGTGGTGCATGTACAGTGAGCACAAGTGAGTTTGCGGTGGGTGCTCTCTCCTTCTTGGTGTGGTTTCTGTAGGTTCGGCGCTGGGGAGGGTTGGCGTTTAATACCTGCTATCATAAGAGAGAAAGAGTGTAAAGGGTGTGTGGTGAGAGAGATGGAGAAAAAAAAACAGGCGTTCTTATGATGTGATACTTTAATTAGTTGGATTCTACAATGTTATTTCTTATGGGAAGAAAGAGAAAAAGCGGTGGTCATGGTGAGGATCTGATTCGCCCTTGTGTTGTGGTATAGCAATTTTTTTCTTCTTTTTTCCAAATCGGGAGAGGGGAGGGGGAAAATTGAACTTTTTTGGGTTTCTTCCTGTGAATTATGTGTGGAGAGTTGGGAAATTTTTTTGCTATCTTGGGTATCGTAACTTTTACGTATAATAGTGATATGCACAGTACGTTGGAGAGGGTATTTGTCCTGCTGGGTGGGCGGGTGGTGGATGGGTTTTTTCCTGGTTAGGGATAGCTGTGATTGAATGCTGGGTGCATCGTGGGAGCGGATATATATACATTCCTTGGGAGAAGGGAGAGATTGGTTGATTTCTGGTGACTGACGACGGGATCCTTAAGTGTTTGAATATGGTTTGGCGGTACCGATAAGATAATCTTGGTTCGAGTTTGGTTGATAGTTGCTACTGGCGCTGTGCGCCCCATTTTGCATTCCATTGTTACGGTGTAACAGTGTGTGGGTCTCTAGCAGTGCGCTATCTGGTCTACTTCCAGTACTGCACTGGTAGGCACTCATCTCCACCCGGCGATCACTCTTTTTGCAGGGCAAGGGCAGAGTCGGAAAGTGAAATGCCACCAATAAATGTTGCTGCCAGGTATGATGCCCCCCCCCAAAAGGACTGGACTCAGCCAGACTAGAATAAAATATTTCATATTATTATATACAAAGTATCTGAAACACTAGTATCTCACGTGCGTTCCCCGTCACGGGTCCCGCCTATTTAGACCTAGACGAATGAGGGGGTGGATATCCGGTCGCACGTTTTCCGCGCTTCACCTATCAAAGTCCGGATATCCAAATACTTTGGCGCCCTTGTTTCTTGGTCAATCGGCCTCCCTCGGAGGAGGGGATTGGCCCCCTGTCGCAGAAACATCTTGACCATATCTTTCTGGCTCGCGCGCGCAGCATTGAGCAACGTATTGCCCTCGTCCTCGTTCACATCTGCCCCCGCCTCCAATGGCCTCTGGGCGCCTGAGGGTTATCTTGTCTGACAATGCCGAATAGGTCCAGCCCGTATGCTGCGGCGCCCGCGTCCAGTAGCCTCGTGACCATCTTTCGTCACCGCCCAGTCCTGCGTTGTGCAGCGGTGTTAGGTTCCCCTTCAACCCGTTCTAGGCTCTCTGAGCTTCCTCTCACGGCTTCTTCTAGTGCCCATTGAAGTGACCTCTTGTCGACCTCTGCACCCTCACTCAGGACCATTTTCACGATTTGGTCGGGTTGCCACCTGCTGCCTGCTGCCTGCTGCTGTCCTGATCAATGCCAACCCCCACCTTTAGGGCGCGCATCTGTTCCTCCATCAAGCGGCATTTCCACAATGTCCACATGGCCCTTCCCTGCTGCCTTAACTAAAGCCTCACCGCCCTTCTGGTATATGTATCTATTCCTTTGTCCGGTGGGAACTTGAAAATCCCCACGTGCCCATCCTCGGCCGCGAGCGCTAATGTTCGTTCATCAATTGTGCCTACATCAATTTTGGCATTGAGAAACATCTTTGCGATTGTTTCATGTCCGTTTTCTGTTGCTCTTAATAATGCATCTCCTTTGCCAATATTGATGTCCGCGCCGTTCTCTAGAGCATCTTCGCAACTTCACGTCCCTATTTGGCCACTTTCTCCGGGGCCCTGCCGTTATAGGCGTTTATGCCTGCCTCTTTACTTAATAATAGCTTGTTCGCTTCGATATGCCCCTTCTCGGCCGCCCTATTCAGTGCTGCCCCGCTGCGTGAATTGATGTTTGCGCCTAGTTCCAAAAGGAGAGCCACCACCTTTTCGTGTCCAAACCTAGCCGCCTCTGCCAGGGCCTTGCCGCCTCGGGCGTTGACAGCGGCCTCTAGTGGTGCCTGGCCACGCTGTTTATTGAAGTGTCCCTCGTTGCCAAGAATCATCCGCATGGCGCCTTCTCGCCCTCCATATATCTAGCTACAATCAGCATAGTTTCGATGGAGGTTATTTCAGGGTCCAACAGGCCAAATAATGCTCGGAATATATTGGAGTGACCAAAACTAATGGCTGATACCAATGAGTTGTTTGGTTGACTCTTCAGGTCATCGATATGGGCTCCGAGAGGCCTTTTTTTCCCGTTATGTGTACACTAAACTTGTGATGAAGGCACTGGCATGTCTCAGCCACCTTTCGTTGCGCCATGTGTGCTGTTTCTCGGGATTTAGAAAGTCTTGCAGCCACCCCTTCACCTCTAAATGAATATCGGGGTTCTTGCAATTTTCAATGTGGGTGGGTCAAAACGGGGCAACATATTTGGAAACGGGTCCCGGTTGGCGGAATAGTTTTTGCGGGCCGTAGGAGCGCACTCACTCTCGACGCCGACCTGGATATCGGGGCTGCAGAGGAGCAAAAGGCAGACGGTTGTAGCCATGATACAATTACTAGTATCTCTAAACCTATCCTTCAAGAGTGGGGGGCTGGATCGACCACATCAACCAAGCAAACGCCATTTTTGCTGTGCCTGGGCTGCTTCCTTCCTGGGTGTTTTATCTGCTCGTAAATCTCGTGGTATATTTTGGCAAGTCTGCCCATTAGATTCCCTGACTTCTCCTTTATATCGCTTTCCGTCTTGAGCCAGCAGAGGCTTTCAATATGCAGCACAGCCCATTGAAACCTAAGCATAATTGCACGATCAATTTTTTCTCTCTAACGATCCCTCAATGCCTCTAGCTTTAATATGATAGCTGGGGAAACTTTCGAGCTAAAGAGTTATATCCCATTGGAACGACTAGAGACAAAAATATCCACCAGTTTTTTTTTTGAAGAGGAAATAACATGTTTGAGCAATTCTAGAACCTCCCTTCGAGCGCTTGTGTCGCATTCATCCAATGCATCGACGACTAGAATGGTCTGTCTATACGACTGACTAAATTTCACGATGAGGCTGCGACTCTCGGCCGATAGCAGGGGGTCGGAAACCCTCCCTGCTGCATTACGCTTCTCGTATATCTCGACGAGGAGTTTCATCAGGGTTGGTGGGTGACTGGGCCAGTTTTTTGACAAGTGTTTTCATCACCTCGCAGCTCCTTCACCGCGATCAATGTAAAAATAGGCTAAACCTTCGCTAGGGTGTTGACTTTTTAATAGTGAATCAGCCACCTTCGATCTAGGTTATGATATAATTGGACTTCCTCACGTCAGTCCTGTCTTTCTTGAGCCTGCTGTACAACCACAGAATATGCTAAACAGGAGATTCAAAGGAGGAGCCTCAAGAACGGGCAGCCTACGAATTCCCCGTAATAATAGTACCATGGAAGCACTTGGTGATCGCCAACCTTTATACCCTTCCATCTCGAGTTACCATTCTCCGGTGCCAACCAATCGAGTCTCCCTGATGCGTTGGTGGTGCTGGTCTTATGGAATTGCAGATGCCTACCGTAAGATGGCTGTTTTTTCGGTTTCTATTATAGTAATTTACAGCACAGTTAGGAAAGGTGGTGGAATTTGGAGATGGGGGAGTTAAGCAAACTTTCTAGCTTTGAGTATGTCCCGGTTATCATTGCCTCGAATCGGGTAGTATAATAGTGTCCGTCAGATTGGCAGGAAGCTGGGGACTTTGTGAAAGCGAACTGCAATGAAATTTAGCGTCGAGTGATTCGTGGGAGATCAGCCCTGGCCAAGCAAACCCGCAAAGTCCTTCATCATCAAAGAATTTGATCTGCGATGCTCAGGCTAGTGTGGGCGGGACAGATCCTTCCTGGAGGAGGTTTGTCCCACATTAAATTTCCAAGACCTGTGCCTTCCTACACATGTCAGTTTCCAAGGACTCAATCTCATCCCAAGGGGTCCGGAGATCGTCGTTGTCGAAAGCGGCTCCTGAAAAAAGTGCAGTAAGAAATAAACAAAACCAACCAATGGGTTAGCCCCCTCAGTCTGATCATAAGTATGCAGTTGATAAGGTGTTTCATCTGCCGTTGCCCGTGATAAATTGTTCTTAGCCTAGACTAGAAACCTGAGTATGACAGTATAAAGCTTTACCAGGCTGCCTTCAAGAGTAGCAGAGGAGATTCCCCGGAATCGCTATAATTTAGATAGTCGGGTTGAAGAGGTCAGAGTTGAGATAAAGCTTCTGATAGATTGTGCAGCGGTCTGTGAGAGAGCCAATCTTTTCGAGGCCGACTAGTACCATCGCTTCGTTTGCCTCTATGATGACCTATGTTATGGGGCACAATAGATTAGCTGACTTGGAGGCCGCGAGATGTAGTGGATGGAAACCTTGGTGTGGAACTTACCCGTAGCAGAAGCCGGAATCAAGCCCATGGCAATACCGCGTGGTCCGGGTCGTATCCGTGAGACGATATCACCGATAGTCTTGGACTTGTCTGTCCAGGTGATTACATTTTCGTAGCACACGCTCTGACACGTTTCAGCACCTGCTCGGGCATTCTCGAGAGCTACGGGAGCAGAATTCAAGTTCCAGTGCTCCGAGGAGGTGCCAATTTTCACGTCAGTCTCTTCCTGCCTCGAAAAGCCAACTTTGGTGTCGTGTGAGCCCCATGTGCTGCACGGTGCAGGAACGTTTACTCCCTATGCCGAACAGATGTGAAATCGACTGGTTTCTAGACGAAATGGAACGAGGCCATCTTCTTGGATGGGCAGGTTTCTCAACCCCCTTCCCACTGCCGAAAGGGTGGGAGATAAGGTCCCGTTTACGGGATTTGCGGTGGGGATGCGTTTCTGGGGCCGGGGGGTTTTCGGTGCCTCGAGGCTGCTGTGGGATGCTTTGGTCGGGATTTACAGGTGGGGGATCGGACTGCTTTAGTATTGCAGGTGATACCAATTCCTTGTGCTCCCAGCTTACCTGTATAGATTCGCCCCCTTTTACCGCATCTCTAGCCTACGTGGTAAATTGTTGGCAGGGGCAAGGATCGCTCTGTAAAGTATAGTACGGTACAAGTAGTGGTGTAGAGTATTACGAAGTGATTTGGCCACAGTGGACCATACTAGGATTCGCCTACGGCAAAAAGACAAAAGGAAGGGAAAAAAAAAAGAAAGGGTGTCCTGAAGGCCGGGGATACAGTACAATTCGATGCGGGTGCGATACTCGCGCAGGGGTCCTATGGGGTTAAATTCACGACCGCCGGCGATCCGACAAGGTTGAGGTGGAGGTAGCGGTGCCCAATCCTCACGATCCGGGGATTAGGACTTCAAAATCCAATCAGAGTTGCTCCCTTATGTTCCGCAGTTTTGGAGAAATTTAGTCCCGGGCTAAACCCACAACTATCACCCGCCGTAAGATTAGTGTTCACCCTCTGCTGGAGCATTGGGGAATCCTACAAGTCACTTTGGACTAAGTGCCGTATCATACTGACATTAGGCTTTGGGGGGGGCAGGTCGGCAGAGACTTGGGTGTATTCAATCTTGGATGTGATATACCGGTATGCCAATCAAGGCATTGCATCTACACTTGCACTGGGTAAAATACAGTACGGTACAGTACCCGTTCCGCACGTTTCAACTACCATTGACAGCCCCTCAATCCACCCACCCGGACAGAAAATGATCGGTGCCTGAACTAAAGGTAGAGTACTTTCATCCTTCCGCCGGTCTGAGGAGCCATCGGAGGATCTTCTTTTTCGGGTTTGAGTTAGCCCCTCGTGTGACCCGAATTACTTACTGCCTATGGGCCATCGTGCCGAATCCGGGCCTCTGCTAACCTAACATACGGATGTCCCTCTACCGGTACAGTACTAGTACGGTACTGTACTGTGCTGTATGATACCGGTAGGCAAGGAACTGCCCAACGTGCTAAAGCGATATCATACCGGTGTGTAGAGCACTTATAATACTGTACGACCTCCGAAATACTAGCCAGAAGAAAGAAAGAAAGAAAGAAATTAATAAAGAAGCCAACGAGGTACAGTATGCGACGCAATGGCCTACATGTTTGCCCCACCATTCCCCAATCTTCATGTTTTTCTCTGAAGGCGTCTGTCTGGTCGATTGGTAATCTCCCCCATAGATTCTTTACAATAATATTATTATATAAACATCAATAAGCACAGCATCCAACAATCCAAGAACTAAAGTC